TTTGGTAGAGGGGAGGTCTCACTATGTTGCCCAGGCTGGTCTTGAACTATTTGCCTCCAGCGATCCTCCTGCATCAGCCTCCCAAAGTGAGGGTATTATAGGCATGGGCCTATAACCTGGCTAAAAACTACTTTATGGTGATAAAAGATAACATGGTTACCTAGAAAGGGGGTAGGGTGGGACTGACTGGAAAAGGCCACCTAGAGATATTCTGGGGATTTCGTTGTTTGGAGATCTTGTCTAGGGTGGTGGTTACAAGTGAGTATAGTCAAAATTCAATTAACTGAATGCTTAAGAATTGTACATTTTGGGGGAGGGCCCAGGCCGTCCTGGGCTCCGGGCCGTCGTGGGCTCCAGCGAGCGTGCAGGGTTGAGCTGGTCTCTCCACGGAGTGGCGACGGCGGCTTTGCTCCACTATGGGCACGGCAGGGGAAGCGGTGGCCTTTGGGGCCCAGAAGTGCGGGCGGCGCTCAGATGGAGGCGGAGGTGGCTGGGCGGAACAGCTGGATGCGCTCGCAAAGAAGGACAAGATGGTAGTCTTCCTCAAGGGGACGCTGGAGCAGTTCCAGTGTGGCTTCAGCAACGGCATGGTGCAGATCCTGCAGCTGCACGGCATCCACAGCTACGCAGCCTACAAAGTGCTGAGCTACCCCTAGCTTCCACAAGCCATTAAAGGCTATTCTGGCTGGGCGCGGTGGCTCACGCCCGTATCCCAGCAATTTGGGAGGCTGAAAGCACCGAGGATCACCTAAGGTCAAGAGTTTGAGACCAGCCTGACCAACATGGAAAACCCCCGTCTCTACAAAAAATACAAAATTAGCCGGGCATGGTGGCGCGTGCCTGTAATCCCAGCACTTTGGGAGGCCGAGGCGGGTGGATCACCTGAGGTCAGGAGTTCGAGATCAGCCTGGCCAAAATAGTGAAATCCTGTCTCTACCAAAAATACGAAACTTAGCAGGGCATGGTAACACACACCTGTAATCCCAGCTACTTGGGAGGCTCTAGCAGGAAAATCACTTGAATCAGGGAGACCAAGATTGCAGTGAGCGGAGATCTCGCTATTGCACTTCAGCCTGGGCGTCAAGAGTGAAACTGTCTCCAAATAAATAAATAAATAAAATAAAGACTGTTCTGACTGGGCCACTGTCTTGCAAGTGTACACCAACAGAGAGTTTGTGGGGGGCTGTGACATTCTTCTGCAGATGCACCAGAATGAGGACCTGGTGGAAAAATGGAAAAAGCTGGGGATTCGTTCCAGCCTTTTAGATGAAAAGAAAGACCAAGACTCTAAGTGAGAGCACCTGGGTCCTCACTGAGCAGAGAAGGGACGTTCATGTCAGAGACTCACTGCCAGAAAAGCTTACGGATTTTGGTTTTCACCCCTGAGACAACAACGGCTTGCACTGATCATTTCCATTCATGAGCAGTCTGGTCATTTTAGTTTGGTGTCTGGGTTAAGAATATTTTATTGTGAACTTAATTACAACCACTGCACTAGACTAATTACTGTTGTATTATGATATTGCTGTAAATAAAATTCATTCTTATATTGTCATTTATTCTTTGCCCAATTCAGGAGTTAAACCAGGAGTTTTGAAATCATTATTCATGACCTCTCTGCTAATGCGTCAGTCTGCAAAGACAGTATCTCTCCCCAGGCGTGAGCCACCGAGCCTGGCTGTGGGGTATTGCTTTTTTTTTTTTTTTTTGAGACGGAGTTTCACTGTTGTTACCCAGACTGGAGTGCAATGGCACGATCTCGGCTCACTGCAACCTCCGCCTCCTGGGTTCAAGCAATTCTTCTGCCTCAGCCTCCCGAGTAGCTGGGACTACAGGCACGAACCACCATGCTCAGCTAATTTTTGTATATTTAGTAGAGATGGGGTTTCACCTTGTTGACCAAGATGGTCTCGATCTCTTGACCTTGTTGTGATCCAGCCGCCTCAGCCTCCCAAAGTGCTGGGATTACAGGCGTGAGCCACCTGGCCTGTTTTTAAAAATAAACTGCCCACACAGGGGAAAAAAAAGAATTGTGTATTTTATTTTATTTTTTTGAGATAAAGTCTCATTCACCCAGGCTGGAGTGGCATGATCTCGGCTCCCTGCAAACTCTGCCTCCCAGATTCAAGCAATTCTCATGCCTCAGCCACCAGAATAACTGGGACTACGGGCGAGTACCACCACGTCCAGCTAATTTTTCTATTTCTAGTACAGACAGGGTTTCACCATGTTGGCCAGCTGGTCTCAAACTTCTGGTCTCAAGAGATCCGCCCGCCTCAGCTTCCCAAAGTGCTGGGATTACAGGCGTGAACCACCATGCTGGGCCAAGAATTGTGCATTTTATTGTAGGTAAATTATGCCTCAATAATAAAATGCTATAACCAAATTATAATAAAGATCTGGGGAGGGGAAAAAGAAGACTAGACCAGTTAAGACAAAACAAAGAAGGAAATAAGGCCCCAGAAGAAGCTTCCCAATCTGAAAAATAAAAAAATTGGGATATTTGGGGAAAGGTAACTGACACTATTTGCCAGACCCTTGGTTAGATTCTTTCAGATATTTCAACTTTATCTCCAAACTCAACAATGTCTGGCTAATCTCAGACAGTAATGTGGTAAGATGAGCCCAGGGAGAAAGTGGGATAGCTCTGTGACAGAGAAGCTGGAGAGCCAAGATCAATAGCAGATTTCATTGCGTGTGGAGTGTGTACTGTGAGATAAAAGGTGTAGTAGGGCTGGGTACAGTGGAGAAGGCAGAAGCGAAGAAAAGGAGGTGAGAGGAAACCAAGCAATGCAGGAAAAGCCTGAAAGAAGTTCTTCAGAGGCATGAAAATTCAGAACACTGGATTCATTCCTGACTCAATCTTCTCTTCCACAGATAAATGAATAAATTTTCCAAAATTCAAACTTAAGAACTAAAAACTCTGCCATGAAAATATTTAAAATGTATTCTGTATCAAACTATACACTATGCTAGAGAGAAGTCATATACCTACTGGGTAATGTTGAGTTTTGTTTCAGTAAGCATGTGTAATTTCATCTTTTTAACCAATTAATTTTTTTTTTTTTTGAGACAGAGTTTTGCTCTCGTTGTCCAGGCTGGAGTGCAATGGCACAATCGCAGCTCACTGTAACCTCCGCCTCCCAGGTTCAAGCGATTCTCCTGCCTCAGCCTTCTGAGTAGCTGAGATTATAGGCATGCGCCACCACACCCGGCTAATTTTGTATTTTAGTAGAGATGGGGTTTCTCCATGTTGGTCAGGCTGGTCTCAAACTCCCAACCTTAGGTGATTCACCCACCTAGGCCTCCCAAAGTACTAAGATTACAGGTGTGAACCACCACACCCAGCCTAAATTTTGCTTTTTGAGACTGAGTTTCTCTCTGTCACCGAGGCTGGAGTCCAGGGGCACCATCTCAGCTCACTTTGGGGTTCAGGTAATTCTCCTGCCTCAGCCTCCCAAGTAGCTGGGACTACAGGTGCACACAACCACGCCCAGCTAATTTTTTTTTATTTTTGGTAGAGATAGGGTTTCACCATGTTGGCCAGGCTGGTCTCAAACTCAGGTGATCTGCCACCTCAGCCTCCCAAAGTGCATGGATTCTAGGCATGAGCCAGTGTGCCTGGCCAATCAATTAAATTTGTTTTGTTTTCTTTTGAGACTGTGTTTCACTATTGTTGTCTAGGTTAGAGTGCAATGGCGCAATCTTGGCTCACTGCAACCTCTGCCTACAGGGTTCAAGAGATTTTCCTGCCTTAGTCTCCCAAGTATATGTGATTACAGGAGTGTGCCACCACATTCCACAGATTTTGGTTTTTTTTGAGACCAAGTCTTGCTCTGTTGCCCCAGGCTGGAGTGCAGTGGTGCAATCTCAGCTGACTGCAACTTCTGCCTCCCAGGCTTAAGCGATTCTCCCACCTCAGCCTCCTGAATAGCTGGGACTATAGGTGCACACTGTAACGCCCAGCTAATTTTTGTATTTTTAGTAGAGACGGGGTTTCACTATATTGGCCAGGCTGGTCTCCAACTCCTGACCTTGTGATCTGCCCGCCTCAGCCCCCCAAAGTGCTGGGATTACAGGTGTGAGCCACCATGCTCAGCCTTAATTTGTTAAATCCAGTATAAGAGATTAGTGTTGGCCAGACATGGTGGTGGCTCATGCCTGCAATCCCAGCACTTTGGGAGGTGGAGGCAGGCAGATCACCTGAGGTCAGGAGTTCCAGAGCAGCCTGGCCAGCATGGTGAAACCCTGTCTCTACTAAAAACACAAAAATCTGCCAGGTGTGGTGGCATACTCCTCTAATACTCAGGAGGCTGAGGCAGGAAAATTGCTTGAACCCTGGAGATGGAGGTTGCAGTGAGCCGAGATCCAGCCACTGCACTCCAGCCAGGGTAACAGCGAGACTGTGTCTCCAAAAAAAAAAAAAAGAGAGAGAGAGAGATCAGTGTTGCTAAAACAATAACCTGGTTTTGGTGGCACAGGAAGGGCTCCTCACACCTGTAATCTGTGCATGATGCATCAGTAGGGATGAAGGGTGCCATCCATTCCCTTACCCAAAGGCCTGGGATTGCCCTTTCACCTCCTCAATCCATGGACAAAGCAGCCATAGACATAAGCAGAAGTCACAGCAGCACAGCCAGTTGGGAGCAGAGTTTGCTGACCTCTGGTCTAGAGCAGTGGTGCCTGCTTCTGGCTGCATATGATAATCACTCCAGAGGCCCATGAAGCCACTAATGCTCAGGCTCCACCCCCATATTCTAAATTAAAACAAAAAGAAAACCTACTGGGTGATTTTCATGTGCATTGTGGGCTGAAAACAGCTGCTCCAGAAGGAGAACTGTACATTGTAGCCTCTCAGGAAACTGCTAGAATTTTGCACGTGGAGAGTGGTAGGGGGAGCGGATGAATGCTAGGAGAAATGATGATCCAGGCTCAACTGAGGTCTAATAAAGATTAGAACTGTTTTCAGTCCACCTGGACACATTAATTGCTTCCAATACTTCCGATTAAATGCTCTTTATTTGGTACTTGTATGTGCACAACACTGTAAGAAGTTGCCCAAAGGTGGCCATTAAGGGGCCAGGAGGTGGCAATATGTAAGCCGCCTCCTGCCTAAGCCTCTTTCTCCAACCATTCTCTATAGGCCCCAGCGTAGTGGCGGGCCCTGTGGAGAGAAAGAAGGGTGAGAGACGGACAGACCCGACAGACAGGCCCCATCATTTCCCAGCTAGCAGCCACACCTCCCATACCCAGTGTATCCAAGGTCGCGGGCCAGCTGTGTAGCCTGGAGGCCCCGCTTGCCCATCTGACAGAAGAAAACAAGATGCTCATCTTCCAGCTTTGGCTTCTCAGCGGAGTACAAAGCCTGGAAGGCTGCTGGCTCCATCTGCAGAGCACTCTCCAACTCGGACACTGGAGGAGTGGAGAGGGTAAGAAGGGAAAGCCGGCAGTTTGGCACTCAGGTTCGGAAGCTGGGCCTGGAAAGGCTGAGTACTGAAGGACCCCAAACAGCATCTGATAGCCATCCCTACCCTGACCCCAATTTCAAGGACCAGAAACCAACAGCTTTTGAATGCGAGCCACTCCCCTAGCCGTGAGGAGGCGGGGCGGGATGGGATGCTCCCTCAGGCGTCCCGGATTCGGAAGCGATCTTTCCTATCTCTGGGAGGTCAAGAGAGGCTGGTCTGCCCCCTCTCCTCTCCGCCTGCTGTACCCTCAAACTGAATAGGCCAGTTCCACCTGCGAAAGCTGAGGCTGGCTCCCGGGAATGCAGGACTCCCAAAACCAGTGCCTTCCCCATTCCATCCTAAGTGAGGTCCTATTGGCAAAGACTCCTCTGGACGGTCCCCTCTCCACCCCATACCCGGGATGTTGAGCGCCCCAGGAATGGTCCCAGCTGCCGCCTCCTCCCGAGAGCGCACGTCGAAGAGCCGGGCCCGGCCCGAGGCTAGGAGTGAACGGAGTTCAGGGAGCGAGACCGTGGGCGCTGAGGAAGGGGCACGACAGACTTCAGGAGAGGGGGCCTCGGAGTCACGGCCACCACGGCGCCCCCTCACCTGGCAGCGCCCCTCCGCAGTAGGGTGTGCACGAGGACCCCTTGGCTACGCCCCTTCGCTCCCCACCCCCCCTTGCCGCCACGCCTCAATCCAGGGGGCCGCGAGGACCGAACTCGGCCCCAGGAATCCCCCACAGGTACCTCCAGCCATGGTGTGTGCAGCAACCGGTAGTCTCCCGAGCGCGGGCCCGGCCCGCCCCCTCAGCACCCGCAGCATCTCGGTCACTGAGACCGGATCCGGAAGCAAGGGTACCGCCTCCCGCACCGCCCCCGCAGCACCTGTTCGCGGCGCCGCTAGCACCATCCCACCGCAGGAGTCCTTAATATTCTCCAGCGTAAGCCATAAACGACATACCGGTCTGGGCTAGGAACCAGGACGCAGGGTAATGAGTACAGGAGCAGCACCCCACCCTGAACTTGCCCCAGCCCATACTGGTCAAAGGGCAATGTGCCCCTCCCCTTCAGCCTGTGGCCCACAAAAGGAAGAAAAGCAGACAACTGTGGCTTTGAACAGTTTTATCTTTAAAAAAAAAAAAAAAGAAAAAAAAAAATCACCCCCACAAGGGGGAAGGCCCCAAGTGGGCCCCTGCCTGTAGTTCTCCCTGGCTCCAGAGATGTCTGCACAGGCCTCAGCTTCTTGCTGGCCAATCTCCTCTTCATGGGCACCAGCCACTGCTAAACATCCTTCCCCCATTTCTTGTGTAAGCTTGCTCCCCTGAGCAGCAGGGTGCATGTCTAAACCTCAGCTCCAGGGAAAGGAAGAACCAATGGAAGTGCCAGAGTCCTGGGGCAAGCCAGAGCATCACCCGTCAGCAGACCTCTGCTGGGCACTCTAAGCAAGCACAGGACAAGCCCCCCAGTTTAGTGTGTCCAGTATCCAGCATGGAGGCAGCACATGCATTGTGCGAGAGGAACGCAAGGGCCCAGGGGCTGCGTGGTGGGGGTGGGCAAGGCTGTCAGTGCACGTTCACATTGTGTGTTTCACACCACTGCAGGCTGCCATATCACAGGGCCTCAGTTCAAAGACACACCTTCTGAAACCCCCCCCAGTCCCCTGCCAGAAGTGGGCAGTGAAGGAAAGGGGCACGGGATTAGGCTGTTGCTTCCTGGGCTATCTGCAGTTCTTGGGCCCAAAGCCCCTGGATCCCCATAGTTAGTTGCTGTCATTCTTGATGACGACCTCTAATCCGTGGTGCCGCAACTGAGCTCGCAGCAGCAGATTCTTGTTTTTAAGATCTTCCACCTGACATGGGAAGGAGAGAGTAAATGGAATGGGTAGTAAAGCTGGCACTACCAAGCCCCTGAATGTATTCAGACATCCACTGGTGAGAGACGAAGCCCTCTCCATGGAGAACAAAGTAGAGGGTGTCAAACTGGGTCAGTGGCTAGTAGAGCTGAGAAGGGCTGCACTGGGGGTGGGCATCTGACCTGCTGTCGAAGCACGTCATTGTCCAGCTGCAGTTGGTCGAGCCCCTGCAGCTCTTCAGACAAGCGGTGGTTACTCTGCCGAAGCTCCTGGATATAATCACAAGCTTTGGATAGAATCCCACCTTTACTCTGCAAGATAAGGCCGACAAAATGAGGACTAGGATTTGAGATACCCAGCTTGCTTTCCAAAAGTAGGTTCACACTTTGGACCTCATTTTCCCCTAAGAAAGGTGGTATAGTATCTCCCAGGGATACAGGAACTTCAGGGAGAGGTCATGTGTGCCCTACTCTCTACCATTTCTGGAAACAATACCAGGAGACAGAATTCAGGCATCCTGCCCACTACCAGGGTCTTTCCATGACCTGGCCAGACTTGGTGCTCTCCATAGAGCAGTCTGGGATGATCTTGGAGAGCTGCACGATCCAGTTGTTGATCTTGTCTCGGCGGCGGCGCTCCACTGTGGAGCAAAGTGGAGGACAAGGTGACTCCGTGAAAACTCACTGCAAGTCCCAGGGTAAAAGTACCTAACCCCTCCTCCCCTCAGACATCACTGCTGTCCTAGGCCCACCAGACAGTTCCTAGCTCCACACAGATCTTACCTACCTTCATTGTGCTGAGCTCTGCGTTTCTCATCTCGAGTTGTCCGAGGAGCTTCTGACTTCCTGACAATAGAGCCCAGGGTGACCAGGGTAAGAGAAGGATAAAATACGTGATTGGAGTTTAGGGTTAAAGAATTATACACGATTTAGCAGGTATTAAGGCCACTTAAGGCTAGATGGGTGAAGTGTGTCACACCTGTAATCCCAGCACTTTGGGAGGCTGAGGCAGGTGGATCAATTGAGGTTGGAAGTTCAAGACAAGCCTTGCCAACATGGTGAAACCCTGTCTCTACTAAAAATACAAAAATTAGCCAGGCATGGTGGTATACATCTGTAGTTCCAGTGACTCGGGAGACTGAGGCATGAGAATTGCTTGAACCCTGGAGACAGAGGTTACAGTGAGCTGAGATTATACCACTGCACTCTAGCCTGGGTGACAGAGCAAGACTGTCTCAAAAACAAACAAACAAAACCACTTATGGAATCTGAGAAGAAACAAGGGTCACTCACGGGGAATAAGGGTGAGTCCTAGGGGCAATTGAGCGCTGGCTTCCTCCCTGCAGTACTTCTTGTGGTGACATCATTACAAAAAACTGACCTGTGAAGACACAGGATGATTCTGTCAGGACATGAGTAGGAACCTCACCATGCCCTGAGGTGAAGACCCTGGGCCCCCCCTCTAAAAAGAACATGCTAAAAGAAGAGCATCCCCAGACTCACTGCCTGCCCAGGTCCTAATGATCACTAAGAGTCATGAGTGAAGGCTCACTGCCTACCAGTCATGTCCCACAGCCTATCCTACCCTTCCAGCCAGCATCCTCCCGAAATATCTCACCAGTGCCAGGAGGGGTCGCCTGCCCCAGCAGTGCCTCTGAGCCCTGGGTAGTAACAACAGCAGCTGTACTCCCCGATGTGGTACCCCCTGCCCCATCTCCCACTGCCGTGCTGGGGAAGTAAGTATAGTGCGTCTCTGCAGCTGTCCCCTCTGTGTCAACTGCATCATCACTGGTGAAAGCACCCTGGATCACTGCCTGGGAAGGGGAGCAAGAGAACAGATTCAACAGTCAAAAACTTCTTCCCACTATACCACTTTGCAGCTTCTATCCCTTGGGGTAGCGGGTAGGGTGGAGAAGACAGAGAGAGAGAAAAACGTCCAGAAAGGGAGAGCCTAGTGTTTTGGGACAAGGTAGCCCTAGATGCCTCACTGTTCCTAGCTTCACCCCCATCCTATTGCTTCCCTTCTTCATCTTACTTCTCAGAACTCTAGTCATCTCCCAACCAATATCCTGTACCTGGGTCATGGATTGAGTGGCAGGGTAGCCACTGATGGCACCAGTGCCCTCAGTCTGGCCATCCAGCTGCCCTTCAGACACCTGGATCACCCTGTACATCACCTAGAAGCGTAGAGGAAGGCAGAGGGAGGGGAAGAGAGAAGAACAGATTAAGTGCTGGGAATCCTAGGGCCCCTCATAAAGCTTCCCTTGGATAGGGCCCCAAAACAAGAATCCTTCAGAGACACAGATTCAGCCATTCTTCCTTCTTTCTCCACACACAGGTTTCAGCATACATCTAACCTCACACCAGTCTCTACTCCAGTATTCGCACCTCCCTCCCCTGCAACAATCTATGCTTTCAGCTCATCCTCCAAGCCAGGTCACCCCAAGACATGTTCAATTACCTCCCTCAATCCCAACCCCAAATAACACCTACAGCCACCTGGCCCCCTCCCTTACCTGGCCCCCATTCTCAGTTCGGAAGACGTACTTGACGTTGGGGTCAGGGAAGGTGGCAGCTGACTGGATGCTGGCAATAGCCACACTGGTTGGATCCTCCCCAGTAGCCACTGCACCTGAATTAAAAGAACAAAGGAAAAGTCTGCCTTTCTCCCCACCGCCCCCCACCCCACACCATCCCCATTCCACTTTCATGTCATTGAAGGAGGATGCACAGGAGATGGTCTGGTCAGGGAGGAAGTGAGCCCATGGTGGGTTCTTAGCCGTGGTTCTGTTTCTAGCACTCACCTTCCTGAATCTGCACTGTCCCCTCTTCCGTTTCAGCTGTTTTCTGCTGCCTGTTTATGGTGAAAGGACAAAAGGAAGAATATGGGAAGAAGTGAATGAGAAACTCACTGGCCCAGTAACATATGGCTGCAAACTCATTGGCATTCCCAACAGATGCTGGGGTAGGTTAGAATAACAACTAGTGTTTACTGTTTACTATGAACACACACTCAGCTAAGTAATAACATGTATTCTTACTTAATACTAAAAACAGCACCAAGAGATAGATAGCACTACTTCCATTGTATAGATGGAGAAACCAAATCATACGGTACGTGATACAGTAGAACCTGAATCCTGGTCTACCTGACTCCTGAGGCAGTGCTCTTGGCCATTCTGCATTCTTCCAGGCCACCCATCTTTCATCCCAGATCCTACCTCTTCTTCACTCACCCCTTCATCTCTCTGTGAGGGGGCACATCCGAGGAACTGGTCCTTTTTTGGAGCTGTTGGTATCTCCTGATTCACAGGCCTCAGTGCTAAGTCCTGGTAGAAATCACGGAGTTTGCAGTGAGTCTAGGACACGGAACAGTATCTCTGGTTCTAGAACTTAGGTTCCATGAACACATAGCCAGGAAAATAACCCAGTCATCTGCAGGGGACAATCAGCCTCCACCATACCGATGTTGAGGACTGGCCTACAGTGATTGAAAAAGCAACTCTACAAATAGTATTCCTAGTCCCTCCATCACTCCAACTCCTGGTGGAGAGGGATAATTATACTGGAAGACAGAAGCAACACAATTTTTTATTTTATTTTTTTGAGACAGAGTCTTGCTCTGTCACCCAGGCTGGAGTCCAGTGGCACAATCTCAGCTCACTGTAACCTCTGCCTCCCAGGTTCAAGTGACTCTCCTGCCTCAGCCTCCCAAGTAGCTGGGACTACAGGTACGTGCCACGACACTCAGCTAATTTTTGTATTTTTATTAGTGACGGGGTTTCATCATGTTGGACGGGCTGGTCTCAAACTGACCTCATGATCCACCTGCCCCTCCCAAAGTGCTGGGATTACAGGCGTGAGCCACCACATCTGGCCAAAACAACACATCTTTTTTTTTTTTTTTTTTTTAATTTTTTTTTTAGAGACAGGGTTTCACTATGTTGGCCAGGATGGTCTTGAACTCCTGACCTCAGGTGATCCGCCCACCTCAGCCTCCCAAAGTGCTGGGATTACAGGCGTGAGCCACCTCGCCTGGCCAACAACACATTTCTAAATGGATCGTTATTAAAGCTATTATGACCTGCCATGACGGCAGCTTCATGGGAATCAGGTCGGGCCATGTATTGGCACACCATCAAAAAATACTGTGTCATGGACACTGACACTTCTTCCAGTTTCTCAGCCACATATTGTCCACTGAGACATTTCTGTTCTCAAATCTAGGAAGAGGAAATCTGAAGCCCATTACCACTGGAAGAATGTCCCTAACCACAAAGACCGAACTTGGCCTTTGGGCCCCATTCTACTGACAGGGCTCTTGTTTTGGGGCATCCAGATTTATATAATGTGTTAGAAACCCCAAAGCCCAAGTGGATCATTTTCAAGCGCCCTCTATTTTATTCATCAAGCCTTCCAGTAGAACAACACAGTTGCTAACATGTTGCCATGACAACTCCAAATCAACTGAGCCTCAGCAAGAAGGGAAAAAAAACCCAGAATCTGAAGAAGAGACAAAGGGGGAGGAATCCACCTACAAGGTCTGCCTTAGGACCCTGAGACCCAGCCAGAGGGCAGGAAAAACAAAGGGCTGGGCAGAGATGCCTCCATAAAGAAAAAGCTACACAGTACAAAGCAGTAAGATAATCCCAACACAAACGGGCAAGATTTTTAGAAATTATCTACCCATAAGGTTCTCCAAATCTTTCCTATCCAAGGAAAATTTTCAGTGGATAAGCCTTGGAAGGACTGCGTCCGAGGAAAATGTTAAAAAAGGAACTGAAAGTGAAACCGTCCAAAGGAAGTACGCTGCAAGGAGATCCCAGTCGGTAAGGGGAAGTAGCACTAGTGTTTTGGGACCACCTACATTTCCATCTTCAAACCAAAGGAGGAAATGCCCTACGAAGCTTGCCGCGCTGACTGCAGGAGAAGGCAATGAAAGAGAGGGCCCGGCACAGGAGGCATCTCTATTGGCCACAGCTGTCAGCCGGGGCAGTCTCTGAGGACACCCAGCAACCGGGTCAGGCTACTTATTCAATTCTTAGTTGGACATCCGGAAGCATTTCCTAAGCATTAGGGATCTCCGACAAGGAAACCGGGATGGGACACTGTAGCGTGCATGCTCAGGCCAGAAGGGCCCAGTAAAAGCCCTTGCGAAGTCTGGACACAAAGGGGAAAAAAATCATCTCCCGAAAGAAGTCAGGCGTCTAGACCTAGCCTGAGAATGAGGCGTCTCCCTGCAGGATCACCAACCAGTAGACGCTTATGGAGCTGAGCGCCCGCCAGGCGCGAGCCCGGGAGCCTGCGCCGTGACCCTGCAGCCCCGCAGCGCTAGCCCAGCGCCCCAGCTGCTCCGCGGAGGAGGCAGGAAAGGGCGTCAGGGACGCGGAAGCTCAGGGGCCGGGTGCCGGCGGCTGCGGCCCGCAGCTGGTCAGCGCAGGAGGGCTGAGACGTGCGCTTTCGGGGCAGGGAGAGAGTTCGTTCGGCCCACAAAGCCGGGTAGGAGATAAAGAACCAGCACAGTCCCCTCCCCCAAAACAAAGGCTTCCCCTCTGGCAGCGTTCTCTAACCTGAAAAACAGAAACAAAGTCAAAGCTGCCCTGCCTTGCCAGTCCACCCAGTCTCCAGACTTCTGCCTGGTCCTACACTCACCGCTCAAGGCCGTCTCAGCCGCCGATTTTCTCCAACTGTGTTCTCCCTGTCCCGATCTGGGTATCGCCATAGACAGCTGCTCATGCGCACTTCCAGCCTGCGGCCATGTTGGTGAGGGGCGGAAGTGTCTCCCTGGGCCCGCCCATAAGCTCAAACTCTGAGCCGCCGCACTTCCGCTCGCTCCATCTTGGTGAGAGTTAAAGGTTGTCGATGATTGTGGGTTTTCTCTGAAGCCAAAAAGAAGCCGTGTCCTGGAGAATGTAGCTGAAGTCCTGGCCACTTTTGACAAGAACGAGAAAGAGACGACTAACTTGTACTAATATCTTAGTGCTGGGCAGGGCATTTTTTTCATTCCAGGAAAAAAGAATGAGAGTCCCGCTGAGATCAGGGGAGGGACGTCCGACGGAGACGCCATCTTTAACAAGGGCTATTTGGGAGGCCATCTTGGCTCAGGGCGTCTTTTTGAAGGGTTACCCGCTAGAGATTACGACTTATCGGGGTACGCATAGATCTGGGTATATTCCTTGTTAATTCGCGTCAGCAATTACTCACCCAAAGACCCCGAGGCTTCTAGTTTTCTAAAGGCTCACTTTATGTGACAGGAATCTTGATTCCCATTTTTCTCAAGATCTTTACCCTGAATGGATTTGGAGTAGTGTGGTATAATAGGAAGAATTCAAACTTGGGGGCCAGGTGAATCCAGGTTTCAAATCCATCTCTGCCACTTCTTACCTCTGAGATCTTTGACAAACATTTTGACTTAGTTAAGCCTTAGTTTCCTCATCTGTAAACTGGAGATACCAGCACCAACCTTCCAGAATTATGTAGATTAAATAAAATCAAGGACATAGATTCTATGAGTGTACTTAGCCCAGTTCCTGGCACATAATGAGCATTATGTAAATATAAGTTTCTCTTTCCCATTTCCTGACCACTATGAACCTAGCTCTAGTTTCTAACCACTAGTCTCCATGACAACTGAGGAAGAGCACCCAAACAGCAAGAAGAAAAAGAATGTTTTGCCAAATATATGAAAATATAATACCAAAAAAAAAGAAAATATAATACCTATCATCAAAGACTTTAATAAGAATGATGAGACCCCACACTATTTGTAAAAATACAGCCTTTATTCTGAGACATTGACCTTCACTAGAGTGGGACCTATGGCCCCAGCCTGGCTGGAGAAGCAGTTCCAGGGCTTGAGTGACACCATTTCCCTTTCCTGAAATAGGAAGAAGTTATTCTAAAGGAAAAATAAGAGCCCAGAGAGATCTGTACAGGACCTCTCTTGAACATATGACTGGAGGCAGAGGGTGGGGGAGCTGGAGAGGAGTCCAGTCCCTCCGACAAATACTGAGGGCTTCAAAGAGCTTCCTGGACGTTTCTACTAATCTGGAGCTAAAAGGACCAGGAGGTATCTAAGGGTCCAAGAACAGAACAGGAATGGGCAACTCTAGAAGTGTTTGTGTATGGAAGGCTCTAACCTGGCCCCATCCTCCCTGTCTCTACCCTTAGCTTTCTTGAAGAGAGATTCGCAGCTCAGAGGAAGGGAGGAACTTGGCTGGAATTCTCCAGTCTTTAAGAAACTCTTTTAAGTTTTCTGCCTACCCTATGTTCCCTTTCGCCAGTGACTCACTCCCTGGGGACAGGATATTGTTGACTTTCTTGGGAATCTCCTAAGAGATAAGTGCTTTGAATCTGAGACAAGTTCAGGTAAACCAATCAAGGCAGTGCCTCCCATAGTCAAAAAAAGAAGCTGGAGGGCCAGAGCCTATAAAGTTGGGCAATACAGCTGCTCCAGCTGCAGAAGAGACAGCTAGTCAGGGCCAGGCACTGTGGCTCACACCTGTAATCCTAGCACTTTGGAAGGCTGAGGCAGGTGGATCACCTGAGGTCAGGAGTACAAGACCAGCCTGACCAACATGGAGAAACCCTGTCTCTACTAAAAAATACAAAATTAGTAATCCCAGCTCCTCAGGAGACTGAGGCAGGAGAATCACTTGAACCCAGGAGGCGGACGTTGGGGTCAGCTGAGATGGCACCATTGCACTCCAGCCTGGGCAACAGGAGCAAAACTCCGTCTTGGGGAGAAAAAAGAAAAAAGACACAGCTAGTCAGGAATGCTGGAGATTCAAAACAATTTACCCAGAGCTCTGTCCTAATCACAAAGTCCCCTTTGCCCAGAGCTCTGGTCCTGATCACAGTCCCTCACCCTTCCCAGGGTTAGCCTGTGTTTCAAATGCATACGATCGGCGCTGGGGGGACAACAGGGGGTCAGGGACCTGGTGTTCTCTGGGGGGCAGACTAAGACGACTCCAGGATCCAGACCCTTGTGTGCCTTCAGATGGGAGCTCCAGGCAGCTAATGGGCCGAGAAGAATGGGCAGAGATCATGCTGCAGGGGGAGGTTCTGGGGATGAGGCAGTAGTCCCCACCCTCAGTACAGGTCTGGTTTCGCCGAACTCCCTGAGCCTCAGTCCTTTGGCGGTCCCGGGCTAGGGCCACAGCAGCATCAAAGGAAAGACTACCCCCATTCCTCCAAGAGGATCGAGAAGGTCGGGACCCCCATGCCCTTTCTCCAGGAGTCCCATCAAGCCGGCCAGGCCTTGGGCTTGGATTTGCGGGTGCCACATGAATCTTGCTACACATTGCACTGGGCATCTTGGCAAACTGCGGTTTGGGGGGCACCACAGGCACAGAGCGGACCTGTTGGACCTGAACCAGAGAGGAAGCCAGACGCATGCCCACACCACCCAAGCCCAGGGAACAGGGGCATAGATTACAGCCCTCTGGACTGGGCTGCCCCTCATGCTCTGTCTCCTCTGGTTGGGATGACTGTGGGGCTGCCTCTTCCATCTCAGAAGAATGGGTATTGCCCTCTTTGGCACAGTCAACCTCTAGGGACTCTGAAGGACCTGAACCTTCAGAGAGGGTGCCCTCTTCTAAATAGTCCCCTCCAGTCCTCTGGTCTCCCTCAGCCTCTCTATCCCCATTCTCCCATTCCTTGCTGACCTCCCCTGCTCCTCCTTCAGCTGCTGCTTCTGGGCTTCTGCTGTCTTCCCCATCTCCTTGGTCTTTTTGTGCTTCATTGTCCCCCTTCCCCCTCTGTTCTTTGTCCTCATCCTCTCTGACTCCATCAGCCTTTTGTTTATGTACAACTTCCCATTTCTCCTCAGCAACTTGATCTTCCTGGGCCCCTTGCTCTAGGTCCCTTCTAGCTTCTACCTGGGCTTCATCTCCTTGCCCAACCTCTTCTCTCTCAGTTTCTTTTTCCTTCTCATCTGTATACTGCTCTCTTCCTGGTTCCTCCACACCTTTAGCCTCCACTATACTGTCAGTCTTCTGACCTTTGGACTTCTCTCCCTTGGCCTCTGTCTCTTCCCTACTCCCTTCTCTCAATCTGACCTTTGTCTCTGGGCCTCCCCCAGCCTCTCCACCATTCTCACTGGCCTTTCCAGCCTCCACCTTGATCTCTGGACTTCCCTCAGCTTCTTCCTGGATGTCTAGTCTGCCTCCAAGCTCAGCCTCCTTGTCCTCCCCAACTTCCCAGCATGCCTGCTCTTTCTCAGTCTGTCCCGGACCCTGCCTTCCACATTCTGTTGCCTCTTCCTCCAGACTCGATGCACCCTCCCAGATTGGGGATTTAGGTCCCAGAATGGGACTTAGGTCATCATAGGCACTCAGGAAGACTTCCTCCCCATTTTCCTCCACAACTTCAGCCCTGGGGCCAGCAGAGTCCAGGGAACAGCAGCTAGGAGCTAAGACAAACTGTGCCTCATCCAGAGACAGGTCATCCAGGGGCGGCTCCACAGAGAACTCCTCCACCTGTAGGCACAGCATTGTGGCTCAGGATCAGGAGGCCCTGTTCACCCTTGACTCCATGCTACCCCCAAACCCAACACAGCTCTCCTTACCTGAGGCCCAGCTCCCAGGAGCTCCTCCAGGTAGCCCATCCCAGGGTCGTCCTCCCCAGGGGAGAAGGCTGCTCCTGCTGCTTCTGCCTGGGCCACCTCCCCATCCTCTGCCCCCACCCACTCAGGTTCTGAGCTGCTTGAATCCTCTAGGAAGGAGAAGGAGTCCTGCACCTCCTGGGACAGGGAGTCCTCCAGAGCAGGAGCCAAGTCGTCTGGGCCTGAGTTTGCCAGGGGACCTGGGGCTGGACTTGCTTCCGACTTCTCATCTGTTGGGAGAGAAGTAGTTCCAGGAATACAAAGGTCAAGCCCTGACCCTTTTCAATGTGAGTCATCCTAGCATTGCTACAGCAGGGGCCCAGCACTCCCAACATAGTTACTCTGCATGACTGATCCTGTCAGAACAGTATCCCTTATTATTGGCTTGCTACCTTGAGCCCCTATCAGGTGCCAAGCACTGTGCTATCCATTTTGTAATGCATTGTCTTATTTTTTCCTCTAAACTATTATGTGGGGTATTGAGAAGACTGAGGCTCAGAGAGATTAAGCAATTTGTGTAAGGTCATGTAACCAATATGCAACACGGCCAAAATTTGAACCCAAGTTTACTTAACTCTATAGCCCATGTTCGTACACTATCCTATCCTGCCTCAGGACTTCTCATGAGTGACACTTCAGGAACTGGAGTCAGAGCAAGGATCAGATCCCAGCTCTGCTACTTCTACCTAAATCAATAGCAAATTGATAACCTAAGTTTCAGGTCTCAGTTTCCACTGCTGTAACAGAAAAATAACAATACCTATGTCATAAAATTATGAGGAAATGAAACAAGCTAATTCCTGCAGTCATAGCACTTAATTTTTTTTTTTTTTTTTTTTTTTTGAGACAGAGTTTCACTCTTGTTGCCCAAGCTGGAGTGCAGTGGCACAATCTCGGCTCACTGCAACCTCCACCTCCGAAGTGCAAACAGTTCTCCTACCTCAGCCTCCGGAGCAGCTGGGACCACAGCCCAGCCAATCTTTTGCATGTTTGGTAGAGACAGGGTTTCGCCATGTTGGGCGGGCTGATCTCGAACTCCAGACCTCAGGTGATTTGCCTGCCTCGGCCTCCCAAAGTGCTGGGATTACAGGCATGAGCCACTGCGCCCGGCCAGTACTTAATAAACTCTTGATAAATGTTAGCTGATAGTATTGATGTTACTATTATTATTACCCATCCATCTATTATATATTCCCACACTTGTCCTTAGTAATCCCTGCTGTATGCGTCTGATACAGCCCCCATTCTTGAGTACATCAGTGCTCTGAAGGCTGCTAGAGATCTCCTCTCCATAGATTTCACATAGCCTGGTAATATTACTGGATTTCTGCAACCCTGAATCTAGGGAGGCAGCTGAAGGTAACCACCCCAAAGCCCAAGGGCTGAGGCCTCTGCCCTTCCTAGGGCGAATCTTCCAGCATCACAGCTTCAGCCTAGGGCTCTAGTCCCTTTTCCCAGTCTTGTTCAATCTTTGGTTCCTCACCTGGGGGGCCAGGGCCAAGGCCAGGGCCAGGGCCAGGGCCAGAGGCAGGGCTTGGCCGGTGCTGTAGAGCAGGGCACTCGAGGCCACGGGTGAGCCTTGCCAAGGAAACATTGGAGATGATGTTCGGGGGCACACTGAGGATGGAGGTGATGTGTAGCGGGAGGTTGACATTGTAGGGATCTGAGATGTGGACCCCAGCACAGCGCTCTGCACGGCTGCTGCCCCCAGCCCGGATGGCTGACCGCCCAGCTCGTGGTGTGCCTGGTTCAGAGTTTGTGCCACCCAGTGCTTCTGCTTCAGGCTCCTGTTCACCCTCTGCTGTCTCTATAGAATCGTTCTCCAAGCTCTCAGGCAGCAATGGGCTTGGCCGGGGACTGCCAGGCCCCACCAGCCCCTCTGGTTCTGTGGAGGAAAGAGAGGGCCAGGTAGGCAGTGGCCTAAGCTCCAAGGGCAAGGGGCCTAGACATCTCAAGAAGGCTCTGGAGAACACGTTCTTCTTTCTCAGGCCTGAGAGCAAGGACAGCCTGGAACGTACCAGACCCAGCTTCTTTTGATCAGTACTGCAAACTCTCCACCAAGCCAGTAGGTCAAAGATCACCCCACCTTCACATACCTAGGGAACTCCCTCCCTTACCTGCAAATACAGTCACTGGCTGTCATCACCATCACCATCACCACCACCACCCCCACCCCATACCCATGCTGTCCCTTCCCATACGAACACTCATCAACAAACCCATAGATTAGACAATGAGCTCACCATTGTAAATATAGCACTCAGTACTGTGGCTGGTGTATAAGAGGCACTCATTAAATATTTTTGAAATTATTGAACAGAGTTGGCTACATGTACACACACACATGCACACACAGGCCCGTACTGGTCACATGGCACACACACGTACATACACAGACATGCACCCCTATACTCACCATCACTGGCCCCAGCTGCAGCACTCAGTGAGTCCATGCTTTTGGCTGGCCGCAGTGTCCCCTTATTGGATTTGTCCTCTGTAAGACAGGGATGTGGGTAGAGCCAGGGCCTGTGTACCCTCAGCAGAACTCCCCCCATCTCCCCAGACTTACCCCTGTCCTCAGCTCCCCGTGGAAGTTTACGCTTTGTCTCATGGCCAGAGCGACCTAGATTGAAGATAGACCTCCACTTCCTGACTTTCAAAGACCCCTTTCTCCTACAGAGAATGGAGGGGCATAATTGGAGGTTGGAACATGGTGGGCAGCGCAGGGGAGGAGGGTCCAGGAAGGAGGCCTTACTTGTGCTCGGCAATCTCAATGATAGTGTGGTACGGCCGCATCTGTGGGGGTCCATCGCCAGCCTGCAGAATGCTAGGCAGGTGGTAAGGCAGGGGCCTGGGCATAAGGTCCTCGGGGCTGCCTGATGCCCGGGTCCCTGGAAGTGATCGCCATCCACTCTCCACCTCACCACCTGGGAAGAGAAAAGGAATTGGCCAGCCAGGAACTGGGCCAACAGAGGGATCTCAGTCACCCAATCCTTCATCACCCCTCACCAACTACCAGGTTAGGATACACCAACACCCCTAAAGACAGTGCCTCTATGTCCATCATCTCAAACGAGTGTCCTCATAGACAAAGAGGGCCGGGAGATCCCAGGATATTGGCCTGTGGGCTGGGAGTGGGTATGAGTTATCACTAGCCTTGGGAGCCAGGATGGTGACTCAGAGGTCAAGCTATGCCCTGGACTGACAGCAGAAGAGGTCTGTTCGAGTCCTGACTGCACCATTATCTCCCCAGGGTTCTCTCCATATGACCACTACCAACATCCCTGTATGAGACTCAACTGAACTAGGGGAACTGCAAGGCTCTCTGTAACTGACTTGACTCCCCAGACAGCGGGATAGGGCAGGAAGGACACTGACCAGAGAGGGCAGCACCCCCAAAGAGCTGGTCCACGTGTGTGAGGATGAACTCCACGACAATGGACTGCACCCGCACCTCCATGAAGGCTGCTGTCCCATTGAAGCCTGAGGCCTCTATGTCCTTAGACCTGTGAAGATGTAGAATTATTCTCCCCCTCAGCCCCACCACACTTCCCAATCCAGATTCTCCCTGAAAATACCTTATTCTCTCTCTCTCGAATGACCTTAACCCCATTTCCACCTCTTAAACTATATGCATAATTCTTCAATTCTCAAATGCCACTTGAAGACTTCCAGGAAGGAAGCCTTCTTAGACACCCTTCTCAGGGTTCATTTCTGTTTCCTTTGCACACCAGGGTGTCTTGTTTATTATAATTTTTTTTTCTTTTTTTTTTTTTGAGACGGAGTTTCACTCTTGTTACCCAGGCTGGAGTGCAATGGCACGATCTCAGCTCACCACAACCTCCACCTCCTGGGTTCGGGCAATTCTCCTGCCTCAGCCTCCCGAGTAGCTGGGATTACAGGCACGCACCACCATGCCCAGCTAATTTTTTGTATTTTTAGTAGAGACAGGGTTTCAACATGTTGACCAGGATGGTCTCGATCTCTTGACCTCGTGATCCACCCGCCTCGACCTCCCAAAGTGCTGGGACTACAGGCTTGAGCCACCGTGCCCGGCCCTATAATAATTTTTATAATTAATTAGAGGACTTCCCATACATAGTCTGTCTTGCACCACCACAGTGAGTGATATGCCAGCCAGTTCTCCAACAGACTACAAGATAGTTTGCTCAAAAAACATTTGACATGAGGTCAGGAGTTCAAGACCAGCCTGGCCAACATGGTAAAACCCCGTCTCTCTACTAAAAATACAAAAATTAGCCAGCTGTGGTGGCTCATGCCTGTAATCCCAGACACTCAGGAGGCTGAGGCTCCAGAATCATTTGAATTCAGGAAGCAGAGATTGCAGTGAGTTGAGATTATGCCACTGCTCTCCAGCCTGGGCAACAGAGCAAGTTTCTGTCTCAAAAACAAACCAAAAAATTGGCATGAAACTGTGATGTTCTAGACCCTCAGCTCAGTGACACACTGTAGGAAAACACAAAAGTCTTGCCCTTTAGGGACTTTATTTGATCACAGAGACTAGGCTAAAATGAGTGGGCCCCATCTGACTCAATCTCAAAACGTCTTTTTTCACTGGGCTTTGTGAGCCCCATACCCTTCTTCAGTGTACCCACACAGTCGCATCTCAATCTGGGAGCAGCCTCCCAGAGGCAAGTGTCTCACAGGATCCCCACACACTCCTCAAACATGCACCTACCTCAGCAGATTGGGAGCCCACACGATGGCCAGGTTACGAGCATGCATGTTGGTCTGAGCACTGAACGAGGCCATGTGCACCAAGTGCCTCATGAGGAACTCCAGGGTCCTGCAGAAAGCGGAAGCAGGGATCACACAGGGAACCCCCAGGGCAGGCATTAGGAATGGGACCTAGGAGCCAGTAGGACCCCGTTAAGGCTCCAGGCAGAGAGTGAATAAGTTGTCTCAGGTTGCTGGGCAGATGTGGAACCCCACATACTTGTAGTTTGGGACGGGGAGTTCTTGAAGCACCTCTAGGATCTTGACCAAGCGCTCAGGTTCCAATTGCACTGCTACAGCCTCCTGATTGAGAAGGGTGCAAGAAGCAAGAGTCAATGACCCAGCAATGCCCCTGCTTACTCCCCAGAGCTCCTAACCAAGTTCTCAGGAACAGTGTGCACTGGACTCTATGCTCCTCTGTCCTACATCATCTGAGGTGTACCGACAGAGAGAGCTCAGAATATGGGGCCCACAAAGATGGCAGCTGAATTTTCGTTATGCCACTTCATAGCTTGTGTGACCTTGATAACTCGTTGCCTTACCATCCTCCATCTGTAGAGCTCTGGCACGGGGCTGCCTCAGTGGTGCCACCCTGTGGGTGCCCCAGGGACTCCAGAGTTGTTTCATTGTGTCCAGGAAGGCCATTCCCCACCCAACCTAGCCGGTGTGGACTGAGCAGGGTGTTGCTAGCATTCAGGAGCTCTCAGAGCTGTTGTGCTAAATAAAGTACACTTATTTTTAAAGTGTTACTCAATTCAAGATAGCATATTTTTCATGTGTTTTCACATTTAAAAGATGTTCAGGCTGGGCACAGTGGTTCACACCTATAATCCCAGCAATTTGGGAAGCTAAGGTGCAAGGATTTCTTAAGCTCAGGAATTTAAGACCAGCCTAGGCAACACAGCAAGACCTTGTCTCTACTGAAAAATTTGAAAATCAGCCAGGCATGGTGGTGCACGCCTATAGTCCCATCTGCTCAAGAGGCTGAGGTAGGAGGATCACTTGAGCCTGGGAGATCGAGGTTACAGTGAGCTGTGATTGCACCACTGTACTCCAGCCTGGGTGACAGAAGGAGACCCTGGCTCAGAAAAACAAAAAACAGGCTGGGCACGGTGGCTTACACCTGTAATCCCAGCACTTTGAGAGGCCAAAGTGGGTGGATCACCTGAGGTCAGGAGTTTGAAAACAGCCTGGCCAACATGGTGAAACCCTGTGTCCATCAAAAATACAAAAAATTAACCAGGCATCATGGCAGGTGCTTGTAAGCTCAGCTACGCAGGAGGCTGAGGCAGAATTGCTTGAAGCTGGGAGGCGGAGGTTGCAGTGAGCCAAGATTGCACCACTGCATTCCAGCCTGGGTGACAGAGTGAGACAGCATTTCAAAATAAAGAAGAAAAACAAAAATGTTCAATGCACAATTACAGTGTATGGAGGTGCATCCTTGAAAAAACTTGACTTCTAAAAACTATTCTCAGGCCGGGTGAGGTGGCTTACGCCTATAATCCCAGCACTTTGGGAGGCTGAGGCGGGTGGATCACAAGGTCAAGAGATCGAAGCGATCCTGGTCAACAAGGTGAAACCCCGTCTCTACTAAAAATACAAAAATTAGCTGAGCATGGTGGTGCACGCCTGTAGTCCCAGTACTCGGGAGGCTGAGGCAGGAGAGCTGCTTGAACCCAGAAGGCGGAGGTTGCGGTGAGCTGAGATCGTGCCATTGCACTCCAGTCTGGGTAACAAGAGCGAAACTCCATCTCAAACAAACAAACAAAAAAAGTATTCTCATTATTTTCAGTGTAGGGAAGTTCTGGTCTACATGCTTTCCAACGGCCTTCCAGCTACAACAATCTGCCTCTGCCTCCCCAAGTCTCATCACTGTGCTGTGTGCAATCTGCAGGCCTTAGGAGAAGGACATGGCAAAGGGAGAATGAAGAGAAGAGGGAATGGAGGAGGACAGAGGTAGTAGGGGCTAGGATATTTGGCGAGGAGGGGTCTTTTCCCCAGTGGACTTTCTGTGGTCTCTGTCATTCAGGATCGCTAGGACTCTGGCTGGTATGTGACACACCTTGGATGTCAAAACCAGACTGTCCACCCCTGAGCCCTGTCTTCCACCCCCCTGCCTCTCAACTCACAGCAAACTTGTCATAGAGCCGGTAAGTGAGCAGGGGATCCGGCAGTTCTCTGAAATAAGCCTTGCACAGCGAGGAGACGCAGTGAATGTCCTGGAGGTAAACATCCCGCCGCAGGTCTGGCTTCCGCTCTGCCTCAAATTCCTGCCTGGGTAGGTGCGGTGTGGTCAGGAGTAGTAAGGGTTGGGGTAATGTGGGGAAAGGTGGGAGCTGTAGAGATGGGTCCCAGCACCGTCATGGGTCAGCATGTGTGGGACTTGGAAGGAGAATGTTGGGACAAATACACATATGAGCCATATGTGTATGTATAAGGTATTGCATATGTTGACATGTAGATGTGAATGTGAGGATGGGTACATATGCAGGTAAGTGGATATATGCATGAACAGGGATATGTTAGGGATGTAGCTAGAGAAACTGTGTAGCAATGCAAGGGCATGTAAGAGTCAATAGGGGATGATCCTAAGTCTGTGCCACTGGGTACACATAAAAATGGGTGGGTGTGGCCGGGCGCGGTGGCTCACGCCTATAATCCCAGCACTTTGGTAGGCTGAGGCGGGTGGATCCCGAGGTCAAGAGATCGACACCATCCTGGTCAACAAGGTGAAACCCCATCTCTACTAAAAATACAAAAATTAGCTGGGCATGGTGGTGCGTGCCTGTAGTCCCAGCTACTCGGGAGGCTGAGGCAGGAGAATTGCTTGAACTCAGAAGGCAGAGGTTGCGGTGAGCCAAGATCCTGCCATTGCACTCCAGTCTGGGTAACAACAGCGAAACTTCGTCTCAAAAAAAAAAAAAAAAAAAAAGAAAAAGAAAAAATGGGTGGGTGTAACTCTTAGAAAGAAACCTAAGTGTAAATCTTTAAGTCCTAGGATTAGGCAACAGTTTCTTAGATATGACACTAAAAGCACAAGCAAACAAAACAATGGATACATTGAACATCAAAATTAAAAACATTTGTATGTCAAAAGACCCTACTAAAAGAGTGAAGACAACCCACAAAATGGGAGTAAATATTTGCAAACTGTTTATCTGATTGAGGGTTTACTATTCAGAATGTATAGAGAATTCTTATAATTCAATGATTAGAAAAACAAATAAGCCGCTTTTTTTTCTTTTTTCTTTTTGAGACAGTCTTGCTCTGTCTCCCAGGCTGGAGTGCAGTGGTACAATATCGGCTCACTGCAGCCTCCGCCTTCTGGGTTCAAGTGATTCTCCTCCCTCAGCCTCTTGAGTAGCTGGGACTACAGGTGTGCACCACCATGCCCAGCTAAACAAATAAGCCAAATTTGTATACGGGTAAAGTCAGCACCATAGGAAAGGGAGAAAAAAATGGGCAAAGGATTTGAATAAACATTACTCCAAAGATATGCAAATAGCCAATAAGCACAGGAAAAGATGTTCAACATCATTACCTATTACAGAAATGCAAATATAGGCTAGGGGAGCTGGTTCATACCTGTAATCCCAACTACTCGGAAGGCTAAGGTAGGAGGATTGAGCCTAGGAGGTAGAGTCTGCAGTGAAGCATGACCGTGCCACTGCATTCTAGCTTAGGTGACAGAGTGAGACCCAGTCTCAAAAAAGAAAAAAAAAAAAAAAAAAGAGGCTGGGCACAGTGGCTCACGCTTGTAATCCCAGTACTTTTTGGGAGGCCAAGGCAGGCAGATCACGACGTCAAGAGATCGAGACCATCCTGGCCAACATGGTGAAACCCCATCTCTCTACTAAAAATATAAAAATTAGCTGGATGTGGTGGCATGTGCCTGTAGTCCCAGCTACTCAGGAGGCTGAGGCAGGAGAATCGCTTGAACCCTGGAGGCAGAGCTTGCACTGAGCCGAGATCACGCCACTGCACTCCAGCCTGGCAACAGAGCAAGACTCTGTCTCAAAAAAAGAGGAAAGAACAAAAGTAACTCAAATATAAATCACATTGAAATATTAGTTTACATTTACAGGGATGGCTATAATAAAAAAGATAGACCAGTCATGGTGGCTCACACCTGTAATCCCAGCACTTTGGGAGGCCGAGGCAGGAGAATGGCTTGAACCCAGGAGCCAGAGCCTGCAGTGAGCCAAGATCTCGCCACTCCACTCCGCACGAGCACACACACACACACACCAAATTGAGGGAGTGCCCATGGACTCCACCTTTTTTCTAGGAGTTGTTAGAGCACCTCCCTCGGACCTGATCTAGCCTCTGTTTCCTTCTCCCCACTGCTTGTCATTCCCCATGTCTGCTCTCCTTGGCAACCCTTACTATGACCTTCTGGCTCCCTGGCCTCCTGGTCACAGAGCCCTCCCACTCTGTTTGACTCACCGAAGCTTCTGGATGTTGGAGGAGACCCCCGAGAGGCGATAGATCCCATCCACCACTCCATACTCCTCCACAAATTCTGCACAGCTCTTTAGCACCTGTGGCACTGGGAACACAGACGGGGCAGAGACACCAAAATCAGAAATCTGGAAGGTCAGAGACTGCAGTGAGTCTGAGAAATGGAAGATCAGAGAAGGGGATTTGAGGAGACCATGGGCAACGCTCATGGGCGCGGTGGCTCATGCCTGTAATCCCAGCACGTTGGGAGGCCGAGGTGGGTGGATCACGAGGTCAAGAGATCGAGACCATCCTGGTCAACATGGTGAAATTCCGTCTCTACTAAAAATACAAAAAAATTAGCTGGGCATGGTGGTGCATGCGTGTAATCCCAGCTACTCAGGAGGTTGAGGCAGGAGAATTGCCTGAACCTAGGAGGCGGAGGTTGCGGTAAGCAGAGATTGCGCCATTGCACTCCACCCTGGGTAACAAGAGGGAAACTCCATCTCAAAAAAAAAAAAAAAAATCTCATTAGAAACATTCCTACAGATCATCAGCTCCACCCTGCCAACCCGTCTGCAGTATCTCTGCTTGGTAGGTCCTAAAGGTCCTGGGAGCTCACGGCCTCTCCAAACTACCCAGTCAGCCCTTTGTTAGAAAGTTCCTTGTGTGTGTGTGTGTGTGTGTGTGTGACATGGCTGTGCACATGTTAGAAAGTTCTGCCATTGTTAAAGTGAAATTTGTCAGGCTGGGTTCAGTGACTCACACCTATAATCCCAGCACTTTGGGAGGCTGAGGCAGGTGAATTGCTTGAGCCCGGGATTTCAAGACCAGCCTGAGTAACATGGTGAAACTCTGTCTCTACAAAACAAAAACATGAAAGGGGTGTAGTGGTGCACACCTGTAGTTTCAGCTACTCAGGAGGCTGAAGTGGGAGGATCACCTGAGCCCAGGAGGCAAGGGCTGGAGGAAGCCACACTCGGGCCTGCTGGGTGACAGAGTGAGACCCTATCTCAAAATAAAAGAAAACAAAAAGAAAGAAATTTGTCTCTCTTGGGCTGCCTGTTACCCCAGAACTTTGGGAGGCCAAGGCAGGTGGATCACCTGAGGCCAGGAGTTCAAGACCAGCCTGACTAACATGATAGAACTCTGTCTCTACTAAAAATACAAGAAATTAGCCAGGCATGGTGGTGTGCACCTGTAATCCCAGCTACTTGGGAAGCTGAGGCAAGAGAATCGCTTGAACACAGGAGGCAGAAGTTGTAGTGAGCGGAGATCGCGCTATTGCACTCTAGCCTGGGCAACAAGAACAAAACTCCATCTCAAAAAAAAAAAAAAAATACAAAATCTACCTGGGGTGGATAGCCTGAGGTCAGGAGTTTGAGACCAGCCTGACCAACATGGTGAAACACCACCTCTACTAAAAATACAAAAACTACCTGGGCATGGTGGCATGTGCCTGTAATGCCAGCTATTTGGAAGGCTAAAGCAGGAGAATCATTTGAACCAGAGAGGTGGAGGTTGCAGTGAGCTGAGATCATGCCACTGCACTCCAGTCTGGGCAACAAGAGTGAAACTTCACCTCAAAAAAAAAAAAAAAAAGAAAAGAAAAGAAAAGGAAAGAAAATTTGTCTGTAATTACCAGTTATTTTTAAAAGGGCAACAATCTGGTTGGTAGGGGAGGCAGAGTCAAGGGCTCATCTTTTTTTTTTTTTTGAGATGGAATCTTACTCTGTCGCCTAGGCTGGAGTTCAATGGCATGATCTTGGCTTACTGCAGCCTCCTCAATTCACTTGCCTCAGTCTCCCGAGTAGCTGGGATTACAGGTGCCCGCCACCAAGCCCAGCTAATTTTGTATTTTTAGTGGAGACAGGGTTTCTCCATGTTGGTCAGACTGGTCTCGAACTCCTGACCTAGTGATATGCCTGCCTCAGCCTCCCAAAGTGCCGAGATTACCAGCATAAGCCACCGCCCCGCCAAGGATTTATCTTAAAAGTGCATTTACATAACACTGTATATAAGGTGAAGGAACATTAGTTGTCCCAACCGAAATGGAACAGGACTGCTGAGGATTCTTTTAAAACACACCCTCTGGTATGAAAGCTCAGCTCATGGCTGCTAGTTCTTTGTTGTTGTTGTTGTTGTAGATTTTGTTTGTTTGTTTTTTGAGATGGAGTCTCACTCTGGAGTGCCAGTCTTGGCTCACTGCAACCTCCACTTCCTGGTTCAAGCAATTCTCCTGCCTCAGCCTCCCAAGTAGCTGGGATTACAGACATGCGCCACCACTCCTGGCTAATTTTTGTATTTTTAGTAGAGACAGCATTTCATCATGTTGGCCAGGCTAGTCTTGAACTCCTGACCTCAGGTGATCCACCCACCTCGACCTCCCAAAGTGCTGGGATTACAGGCATGAGCCACCACACCTGGCCTGCTTTATATATGCCTATCATTTAATCTTAAAAATTAGATAATCTGGATGACAGAGCCATGGCAATCAAAACAAGAAAATCTAAAAAAAAAAAAAAAAAAAAACCTTAAAAAATTAGGTATTCTAGTCCCCATTTTACAGATAAGAAAACTGAGGGTCAAAGAAGTACTGAGTGCCCAGCAGCACCCAGCTAGAGCCAGAATTCAAATCAAGGGTACAACAAGTTGTACTCTTTCCCAATCCTAGCCTCCCTCCTGCTACTAGACTGTACGCTTCTTAAGGACAAAATCTAAGTGTGATCCATCTTGATATTCCTTATATCTTCTGACATGGTGTCTCATACATGATAGATCCTCAGAAACTGGGTCAGGCAAGGTGGCTCACACCTGTAATCCCAGCACTTTGGGAGGCCAAGGCAGGCGGATCACCTGAGGCCAAGAGTTTGAGATCAGCTTGGCCAATATTGTGAAACCCCATCTCTACTAAAAATACAAAAATTAGCTGGGTGTGGAGGCACATGCCTGTAATTCTAGCTAGTGGGAGGCTGAGGCAGGAGAATTGCTTGAACCCAGGAGGTGGAGACTGCCATGAGCCAAGATTATGCCACTGCACTCCAGCTTCAGTGACAGAGCAAGACTCGGTCTTAAAACAAAAACAAAAGCAAACAAAACAATAACATGTATTGAACCGCGTTTCCACAAGACTACATAGTTATCTTTCTAGAGCACTTCTCTCATTTAGATTTTTTGCCTCAAATACGCCCCGACTCTGCCCCACCTTAATCCTCATTGCTTACCTTAAAGATACAAAATTAAGTAGAAACTTCTCAGCCTGGTATATAAGGTCCTTCACAAACCAGATCCAGGCACCATTCCAGCCACAGCTCCAGAAAATTCCTTGACAAATCCTATAATCCAGCCCTTTGCTGGTCCATAAACAAGCCTTGGTACCATTACTCATATTATTCCCTTGCCTGGAATTACCGTCTGCATTTCTTAAAGTACCTCTTAGGCCAGGCATGGTGGCTCACACCTGTAATTCCAGCACTTTGGGAGGTCAAGGGGGGCAGATCACTTGAGGTCTAGAGTTCAAGACCAGCATGGCAAAACCCCATCTCTACTAAAAAATACAAAATTAGCCTGGAATGGTGACGTGCATCTGTAGTCCCAGCTACTTGGGTGGCTGAAGCAGGAGAATCGCTTGAACCTGGGAGGTAATGGTTGCAGTGAGCTGAGATTGCACCAGTGCACTCCAGTCTGGGTAACAGGGTGAGACTCCCTCTCAAAAAAAAAAAAAAATCACATCTTAAACATAACCACCAATTCTAACCCTTTTCCTTGTATCTGTATTATAGTTCACCAGTCTTTTGTTCATATCTGTATTATAGCACTTCTTGCAATCTGTTAGGATTCGTTTATTTTGTATTTATACATCGTAACATATAATAACATCCTCCCAGCATCTAGTACACTGTTGAAACAGAGCAAGTGCTCAGTCAATGTTTGTTAAATGACTCTGAATTAATCAATCAATTGTGAGAATCAATAACATCCCTTGGAGATTTAAAGGAGAATATTGCCAATCACAGAACATCGGGTTCTATTAACTAGGACCCATCAGAGGAATTCCTCTCACATATGAGTATCAGAAAAAGCTGTGTTTGGCATGGAAGCTGAAGCCTGTAATCCCAACACTTTGGGAGGCCGAGGCAGGTGGATCGCTTGAGGCCAGGAGTTCCAGACCAGCCTGGGTAACATAGCAAGACCTCATCTCTACAAAAAATAAAAAATTAGTAGAATGTGGTGGCTCACACCTGAAGTGCCAGCTACTCGGGAGGCTAAAGCAGGAGGACTGCTTGAGCCCAGGAGTTTGAGGCAGCAGTGAGTGATGATGATACTGTTGTACTCCAGACTAGGCAACAGAGTAAGACTGTGAAAGAAGGAAGGGAAGGGAGGGGAGGGGAGTGGAGCAGAAGGGAAGGGAGAAGGGAAGGGAAGGAAAGGGAAGGGAAGGAAAGAGAAGGGAAGGAAAGGGAAGGGAAGGAAAGGGAAGGGAAGGGAAGGGAAGGGAAGAAGGGAAGGGAAGAAGGGAAGGGAAGGGGAGGGGAGGGGAGGGGAGGGGAGGGGAGGGGAGGGGGAGGGGAGGGGAGGAAAAGAACAAGAAAAAGCTGTGTTTCTCCTAAGCCATCTATTTCTTTTTCTTATGGGCCACATGAGTCTTGCACTTGATTATCTTTGTTTGTTTATTTATTTTGGGTCAGAGCCTTGCTCTGGGTGGGTTAAAGCAATTCTGGTCCCTCAGCTTCCTGAGTAGCTGGGACTGCGGGCACACACCACCATGCCCGGCTAATTTTTGTATCTTTTAGTAGAGATGGAGTCTCACCATATTGACCAGGCTGGTCTCGAACCCCTGACCAAAAGCTCTGGGACTACAGGCGTGAGCCACCACACCTAGCCTATGTTTACCTCTTTAACCACTAGGAAGCTCAGAGCCCACCTCTAAGAACCATAGAGCCATGTAATATGCATTTCTGGGTGCTGATCTTTCTCTTCCTCTTGTTTTTCCTTCAACCCAATTCCTTCAGTTATTTATTCTAACTTTTTGTAAAGTTTTGGGTTTTGGAAGTCATCCCAAGCTCTTTGTTGAACAAAGTATGACATAAATGTGGAATGAAGAAAATAATAAATAAATTCATCAACCCCAATCTTTCTTTCTTTCTTTTTTTTTTTTTTTAAACAGAGTTTTCCTCTTGTTGCCCAGGCTGGAGTGCAATGGCAAGATCTGAGCTTACTGCAACCATGTGCCACCACACCTGGCTAATTTTGAATTTTTAGTAGAGAGAGGGTTTCTCCACATCTGGTCTCAAACTCCTGATCTCAGGTGATTTGCCTGCCTCAGCCTCCCAAAGTGAAGGGATTACGGGTGTGAGCCACAGTGCCTGGCCCTTTTCTCTTTCTCTCTTTTTTTTTTTTTTTTTTTTTGAGACGAAGTCTCGATTTGTTGCCCAAGCTGCAATGCAGTGGTGCAATCTTGGCTCACTGCAGCCTCAGTCTCCTGAGTAGCTGGGACTGCAGATGAACACCACCATTCCCAGCTAATTTTTGTATTTTTAGTAGAGATGGCGTCTCACCATGTTGGCCAGGCTTGTCTCGAACTCCTGACCTAGAGTGATCCACCTGCCTCGGCCTCCCAAAGTGTTGAGATTACAGGCGTGAGCCACTGGGTCTGGCCAATCACAATCTTTCAAGTCTCCTCATACAACCTGGTTTCCAAACTCTTCATCTTCCTACACACCACTGCCAGGAGTTGGGTGGGATTATGGAAGCATCTAGTGTGTAAAACTTAAGGAAGCACTTATTCTCAGGGCCACACAAATGCCAACAGTGCCCATGCATGGTCTTGAGTATGTCCTTAAGAATGCACCTGTAATCCCAGCACTTTGGGAGGCTGAGGTGTGTGAATCACCTAAGCTAAGGAGTTCAAGACCAGCCTGACTAAATGGCAAAACCCTGTTTCTACTAAAAATACAACACTTAGCCAGGCATGATGGCGCACGCCTGTAGTCCTGGCTACTTAGGCGGCTGAGGCAGGGAGAATTGCTTGAACCTGGGAGGTAAAGGTTGCAGTGAGCCAAGATCGTGCCACTGCAATCCAGCTTTGGTGACAGAGCAAGACTCCATCTCAAAAAAAAAAAAAAAAATAGACAAAATCAGAGGCACCTAGAGCACTTGTAGGACCCTGAAAGTGAATGCTGCATCAAATTTTGCACCCTAGTCACCTCTCTTGCCTGTCCTTAGTCTCAGCCCTACAGTTCACCATCCATCCTTTCAGTACCGCTCCCATTTTCTAGGATCCCTCTGACCTCAGGTTCCCAGTACCGAATGCAGAGATGGGACAGGCCCTCCTTCTTTGAGCTGCTGCTGTACTCTTGGGTGCCTAATGCTAAGCCAACTCTTTTGACTCATAAATAGTCTGCGGTCACCTAAACCACCAGGTTTTTGTCACATGAGTAGCATCCAAACCAGGTCTTCTCCATCCTGTCCTTCTCTGTTGATTTTGAACCTCCAGAGTACTTCAAAGAGGACACTCAAGAGCCTAAGGAATCACAGCCATAGAGGAACTGGGTCAATGAGATGGGGGAAGAGACAACAGGGTCACAGAGATGGGGGAGTTAGGGAGCTAGAGATCAGAGAGATAACGTGAGAGATAAAGGGTACAGACAGGGTTAGACGGATGAAGTCAAAGGGAGGGAGACATCGAGGAAATGAGGGTAGTCTCAGGGAGGAGGGCCCAAAGCTTAGGGACCTGGAGAATTAGAAATCTGAACAATCTATCAAAGATTAGGAAAAGAAAGAACTCAGTACATATAGGGCTTAGGGAAGGAAGAGACCCATGTGGACGCAAAGAGCTGGAGAGAGGGTTGAGATGGAGCAAGGTTGTGAGGATGGGGGAGACCAAAATTATCAGGGAGGATAAAATAACTGGAAACACAGGTCTCCTTGCTTTCATTTTCTTGTGGCTATTGGGTTAAAGAAAACCATCACCAGCCTTTCTCTGTCCTTCCTTTCACTTTCCACCTCTCTGTACTGGGAAGACTTGGGGGATAGGGAAGCGGCCACCACTGCTATTTTGGTTCCCAAGATCACCCCACCCTTGGGCTCAGGTGAGGTTCTAGTCTCCTAGTCTCCTGCCCTGAGATTCAGCTAGGATCAGGACCCAGCAATCAGAGGTCTGTCCGCTCTAGAGAGCGTGTCCCTTCCCTGCTGGGAATGCAGGCAGAGGCTGGTCTGGCTGTGGGTTCTTGTTTCAAGATAGGGATGGTTGGTGGACCACAGGAAAGGGCAGTACCAGGAAAGGCTGAACTGAGGGTTTGCCTTGAGCTGGGAGGACAACATCCCCAATTAAATCTCATGGTTCTTGGCCAAGAATCACAGCTCTTGAGAGGAGTCCCTTAGAAAGGAGTAAGCCCTGCACTGATGGCTGTGCCACCTCCACTCTGCCCAGTGAGAAGAGGAAGGCTCGGATAAGTTTGCTTCAGCCGCTCACATTCTTCCTTGGGGTTTGGGCTTTCCCTTAACCAAGGCTAATGGGGATATGGGTCCTCGTCCTCTCGCGGGAGGAGAAAAGGGGAAGGAGGGATGCAGGGGTGGGGCTAAGAGCAGGAAATGATCTGGGAACCACCATTACCCTCCCTCCACTGCAAGCACCACAGCCCAGAGCAGAGGAGGGGACAAAGAGGAAATGACAGATTGGGGTGGGGTGGGATGGGGTGGAGTGGGGAAAGAATTGTGCCCTTCTCTAGGAGGAGCTTGAAGTGCCAAAAACAAGCTGGGCTGGGCAGTCAGGATACCTAGGTTCGATTTCAAATTTAATTAAGAAACGATTTTGAGCGGCTGCTCCATTCCAGGCCCTGCTGTGAACCTGATATTGTCCCTGGTCCTTCTGGCTTCAAAGCCCACTCCAAGGTAACCCAGGGAGGGAGCTAGTTAAGCTCCACAGACAGTTCCACACCCACCCTCCTTTGTGCTCTGCACCTCCAGCTTCAAGCCAGGCCTCACGTTTTCCTTCATTCTTCCCTGTTTCAGCAGATTCTCCCCTTGGCCCCCACTTTGAGCTTGTTTCTCTTTTGCACAGGGAGAACAAGAGAATCACAGAGACTGGGGAAGGAGGCTGTTTCCAGCCCCACGTCTTCCCCTGCAACCCAGCAAGGCTGCAGTGGGAACAGAGCCCACGACCTTGTCCCTGGGTGTTCTCCAGCCAGGAAACCACCTGCTTCAAGGGCCATCCTGAGACCCTTCTGGGGCCCTTCCCTGTCTCCATTCAGATCACTGCCCTTTCAGCCACTCCTCTCCTGACCCTGTCGCCTCACCCTCCCTCTCCTGTTCCCAGTCACCTGCCCACTGTTTCATCCACCCTTCCTGGGTTCCCAATCTCTCCATCCTCCCCCTCACTGCTCCCTGGGTGCTCACATTCTCATCCCTTCAGCCACCCAGTCCCAGAAAGTTACACAAGGCAGCCACCCTTCCTGTCTTGCCTGCTTACAGGTCTCTTGAATGGTGACCCCAGGCCACTGCCCCTTTCCTAGGAGCACTTCGAAGCTGCTTCTGCCCCTCAGGCTGGATCGGGCTGCAGACGCTCAGAGCCTCCCAACCCACCCACAGCAGCTGAGCGGCCTCCTTACCCTCCTGGCCTGAGTGCTGCAGGTGCTCCTGCAAGTCACACCCAAACACCCGCTCCTTGGAGCTGCCCTTCTTCTTTCCTTTCTGCCGAGACTTCATGGCCAGAGCCCCACGGCACTGGCCCAATTACCTCTATCCCCCAAGACCTGTTCCCTACCAGTCCCCCATGGGATCCCAGCCAGCTGCTGGGCTTGGCCCAGCCCCAGGGGGGCAGGGCTCCCAACTGGGGGTGGAGGGTGGCCTGGGCAACGGGCAGCAGCTCCTGCCTCTGGGGTTCTGGCCACACGGAAGTGGCTGTTGAAGAGGAAGCTTCCAGGACCCTGGCAAGAAACTGTCCTGTGTCTCGTGGCCCAGCCTGGCACTCGCCCTTCTTGCCCCGCTCAGCTTTTGGGGGCAGGAAGCAGTGCAGCTCCTTAACCCACTTCCTGTTAGAGCATCTTTGCAACCACAGGGTGGGGGAGGTAGCTCACATTCACATCCTCACCCATTGCTTGGACTTCGTTCATTGGTTAGGGGAGGTGATGTCAGAGCCCTGGGGTGGGGTGATGGTGTCTGGGGTGTGAGCAGGTGACCGATTCCCTTAGAGACCAGAATTCTTGGATCCAAGTTAGCGGCCTGGGGCTTGCCTGGGAGCAAGGTGACACAGGGATGTAAAAAGCACACTCACAAGGGAGGCTGCCTGGGCTCTGCCTGATGAGCGTAGCACCTAAGTCAAATCACATGACTTCACTGAGCCTCAGTTTCCACACCTGGGAAAATGAAGGGAGTGAACTAGCGGACCTTTAAATCCTCCCACCTCTAACAGTCTGTAAAACTCATTTAACTTGAGTTTCAGTTTATTTACCTGTAAAAAACGTACACTGCTGCCTATTTCATATAGCTGTTGTTGAGTCTCCAGTACAATAAAGAATTCAGGCCAGGAACAGTGGCTCACGCCTGTAATCCCAGCACTTTGGGAGGCCGAGACAGGTGGATCACCTGAGGTCAGGAATTAGAGATCAGCTTGGCCAATATGGTGAAACTCCATCTCTACTAAAAATATAAAAATTAGCTGAGCATGGGGATGGGCGCCTGTAATCTCAGCTACTTGGAAAGCTGAGTCGAGAATGGCTTGAACCCCAGAGTCGGAGGTTGCAGTGAGCTTAGATCATGCCACTGCACTCCAGCCTGGGCAAAAGAGCAAGACTCTAAAAAAAAAAAAAAAAAAACACACACGCACACAAAACAGAATTTAAAACACTTTGCAAACTAAGGCACTAGCTATCCTGAAAAAGGTTCTTAGCTCCACTCTCCTACCTGGGAACTGTCAGAGATAACCAAAGGCCTTGTGGAGGCCAATTCTTTCCCTTTCCCTCCCAGCTACAGGCATCCTCAAGTCCTCCCCTACTTGAAACTACAGGAAGGATGGTCCTGAGACAGAGAGTGTGTGACTCAGAGCTTACACAGTTCAAGGGGCAAGACAGGAACCAGACAGAACAAGTTTTGTCTGTTTATTTAAAAACAGAATATTGTTTATGTACAAATATGCACATATTTACACAAAATGTACATATTAGGATCTTAGATCTTCAGTCTCCGCATTCAAAGTACTAGGCTGGCTGAGGAACAAAGGATGGGAGCCTCTCCTTTAGGCCAGAAATCCAGCAGATTTCAGACTAAGAAGGGTTTTGGTACTGAATCTAGGTATTCTGCTGAGTGTATCTGGGTAGGCCAGCTAAAAATAAACCTCATAGAACTCCATCCCACACCCAGAGAAACATCCAGAAGAGCCTTGAATTAGTGATCCAGAAACCCAGAGTGAAAGGCGACGTTCTCACCCCCAGCACCTCTTTTACCTCACCTGAACTACTCTCTCAGTCTATAATCACTGCTCTCTCTCTCTCTCCCACACCACCATTGAACAGGAGCCTTGTCACCAAGTTCAAGCAACTCCCCAGGGTATCACAAACAACTATGGATGCAACTTTACCTTACCAACTTCAGCCTCACGAGGCTCACATCCCTAATTCCAGACTCCACCAGCTCTCAGGCGCCCTCCCAAGGGGATGCGCATAGAGATGCCTTAGAAGGAGCCCCTTTCACAATCACAGGAATTAACCCCCCTGGTGTTGTGGGGGGGGCTCACTTTAAGCAATCCCAGAAGTAAACATGTGATAATTTCATTTCTCTTATAAAGGATTCAAAGCAGGCACAGTGGTGTACACCTAAAGTCCCAGCTATTAGGGAGGCTGAGGCAAGAGGATTGCTTGAGTCCAGGAGTTCAAGGCCAGCCTGAGCAACATAGTGAGACCCCCCCCCATCTCTAAAAAATAAAAATAAAAATAAATAAAAAATACAACTATTGGAAAGGGCAAGAAAAAAAAAAGAAAAAATTAAAAACAATTCGGAGCAGTATTCCTACAAGAAGCTCCCAGTGCAGGTTTATTTACAGAAAATATGTACATGCAGCAGGCCCAGAGGCCACCAGAGGGCAGAGGACTTCTTCCATAAGCCTCTGGCTGACCCAGGGACTGGCCGCTTCACACTTGTCCCCAGCGCTCCCAAGTGGCAGGAGGCAGGCTCCCTCACACCGGAGGCAGATCCAGCTCCAGCTCTGCCCGCACACCTGGGTCTGACCCACAGTCTCCACCTCTTGCCTCCAACCTCTGCATCATTAATACTGCTCTGGGGTCTGAAAAATATACCTGCTTTTTCAGGCAGAGGTCACATACAGCCACACACATGCCAAACGCCGATAGTGTTCCCCACACAGCCACTCAAACCCTGTGGCACAGACACCACAATTCACTTGACTGTGATCTGACAGCACAGTACACACCACGGACACAGTCGCCCCCACACACAGTCAGTGAACACTCACAGGCACGTGCACACGCACACACAGTGACCTGCACGCCTGGTGGGAGAGATTCAATCGGTGGAGACCTCCCGATGAACAGAAGGCTGGAGGTGAAGGTCGAACAGTCGGTGGGATGGGGAGCATGTTCCGCAAGAAATGGGGGTGTTTAAGGAGGCCCCCAAGATGAGCTAAAATCTCCCATGTCAACAGAAGGAGCCAGGCCTAGGGAAGGGAGGCAGGCCTGGGTCAGACCAGGTGTCCGCGCCCATTGATGTAGATGCCATTGCCCGTGGGCTTGGCCCGTAGGGTCCCATTCTCCTGAACAAAATGGTTCATGGCCTGTTTGATGCCTTCATCCTGATCTTCCTCCTCCTCGGCCCGCCCAGAGCCAGGAGACAGCAGTTCAGTCTGTGTTTCGATCTCCCTCACTGTTGTCAGCGTGGAGTAACTGCGGCCCTCGGGCTCTTCACTCTGGAGGCCAAGGGCAGAGGGCAGTCAGGAACCAAGGCAGGGTGGCTGGACATGGAGGGGCATGGCTGGGTCACGGTGGGTTCAGAGGCCAGGCATAAGCAGGGGGAATGGTTGCCTCAGAAGCATAGGGGCTCAGAGATGGGGGACCAGGAATGAGTGTTAGGCATGGGGATGGGGAGACAGGAGAACAAAGACGTAGCAGAGATGCGGTGCGGGGCTGCGTGAGCCAGGGCTACGGCGAGAGGGACTGGTGAGGGGGCTGCTGACGCACCATATCTGGGACCAGGACAGGGGCCTGAGGAGAGTGGTGGGGACACCGGTGGGGCTGGGGGCCTCACCATCACAGAGCAGCTACTGTTGTCCTTGAGACTATCAGGGTGGCCCTCGGCTCTCAGCCCTACACTCTCCTCCGGCTGCAGGGCCCAGACATGGGGGAGTTAGAACAGAGCTCAGTCTCTTCCCCTTTTGTCCTCCACCAGCCTCCTCCCTACTCGCCTGTCCCCCAACCCAGCAGGTCCATTCACTTCTGAAAACAAACATCTTCATTTCCCCACTGCCACCCCAAGCCCACCCTGGAAGCAGCACTGATGGTGGCTTCCCAGAGAAGGCCCTAGGCCAGTGCTGAAGGGGGCCTTCCAGAGCAGCCCTGGCAGACCCAAAGAAGCTCCACCCTCTCACCTCTACCCAGCCAGCCCCAGCTGCAAGTCAGCGCCTGACCCAGCAGAGAGCTGTGCTCCTGGTCTACAGAGGGGCCCAGGCACAAGCAGACCCCAGTGCCACCACACCCTGCACACATGCACCCAACCCTGGTGCTCACCTGGCTCCTGGGGTCCGTGTGATGGGAATGCAGCCTCCGAATGGAGTTCTCCCTGGTCAGGGTCAGCTCCTCCTCACTGGGAAAGACACAGCCTTGTCAGGAACTGAGGGCAGTGGCAGCCTCCCAAGGTGAGCCTAGTCTGGCCGAGCCCAGTGACACAGGCCTGGAGGGTGTGGGTGCCGTGCCGGCCCTGCATGTGTGTGGCTGCAGGTGGCAGTGTGGCTGGAGAGCATGTGCGTGCTGGGTGCGTGTGCATACTTGGTGATACTGGGACACACGGATCTGACCCTCACTCAGAGGGAAGGATTGAGAGCTCCATCTGTGCTCCAGACCCTGAGCTCTCAGCTCTAGAAAGACCCTGCCCACTTCTAGTCTGAAGCGCCTCAGTTTTCAGGCCACCCAGTCTCCTCGGTCCTGCCCCACCTCCTGCTATCTTCTTCTTTGTTCTCTGCTTAGTTCTCCCCACCCAGGAGTGGCCAGTACTCACTATTTCTGGGTCATCTGCTGGGCCTTGCGCCGATGGTATCGGGACATGAGGACCACCACCACCACCAGAAGGCAGAACAAGAGGGCGGCGATCACACCCACCACCACCACCGAGGCCGACACTAGGTCCACCTGCTGCCCAGAGTCTTCCTGGGGGTCTGCTGGAGACAGGCCACTGTCTGAGGTGGACGCCTGCGGCCACAACCCACCCCAGACCTCACAGCTCCCCCTAAAAACATCCCAAACCACACCTCAGTTTGACTCTCTGCAAAAGACACACAGTCCAGCCCCCTCTGAATAAACACTTTCCCAGTTCACTGTCTGTGCTGCTTCCTGCTGCCCCACCAAGCCCTTGGCCCAGGTCCCTTGTTTCTTCTGCCCCAGTGCTTACCAAGAACATCCACGGTGACCTGAGAATCCCTCGAGGAAAACTCATTGCTGACATGGCAGACGTAGATGCCACTGTGCTCAGTGGTCAATGGGGGAAAGCCCAAAGTGTCCCCATCCACTCGTACCCCACTGGGCAAAGGCCCATCCAGCCTGGAAAACAGGGAAGCTGAAGGGTGCTGGCCAGGAAGGGCTGAAGCCACCACCACCCAACGTGCCCAGACAGCTCTCCACCCTCCACCCCCATGACGTCACCCAGAGCCGCCAGCTGTTCCCACGGTACCCCTCCCTCTGCCAGGCAGGTCTAGGCAGAGGTCCCTTCTCCCTGCTGCCCAGCCTGACCTGGGCACCCCACACACACACCCGGGGAAGATCCACACGTGTGCCATCCCACATGCTTTCACAGGCATCACGTCATCCAGCACTGGGTACCAGGTACACATGTTATAAAGTTCACACAGGAGGACACCCCATTCATTGCTGGGTGCAGAGGTAATTGGAAAATGTGACTGCATGCTCCAACACCCGTGATGTCGCACGGCAGGACACATGAGCATAGCCCCAGGCACAAGGCCACATGCATGACTCATATGCTTACATGAGAACATGCCTGTCATGGGCTCACACACATGTGTACCCAACCTCTCCCTGACTCTCTAGCTATTTCAGGCCTTGGAGGAAGGCCAAGGGTGCCTTGAGGGAACTGGAGGTAGTGGGTGTTTTCCAGGTACTGCCAATATTGTGGTGGTTACAGGAGTGCTGGCTTAACAACAATTACAAAAAGACAGCTGTCTTGTGCACTTAACGTACTCACATAAATATATAAAATATTAATATCAAAATATTGTGTTATATTTCACAGTTTAAAAGTTAGACAAGGCTGGGCACGATGGCTCACACTTATAATTCCAGCACTTTGGGAGGCCAAGGCGGGTGGATCACCTGAGGTCAGGAGTTTGAGACCAGCGTGGTCAACTTGGTGAAAACCCATTTCTACTAAAAATACAAAAATTTAGCTAGGCATGCTGGCACACATCTGTAGTCCCAGCTGCTTGGGAGGCTGAGGCAGGTGAATCTCTTGAACCCAGGAGGCAGAGGTTGCAGTGAGCCAAGATTGCACCACTACACTCCAGCCTGGGCAATAGAGCTAGACTCCGTCTCAAATAAATAAATAAAAGACAAAAAATTTAAGGGCTTATCCATTTATTCCCTACTAATGACCATGTATCTTAAATTCCCTGGGCAGGCCAATAGTATTTGGTGACCATGTACATTCTTATATAACAAGTATAATAATGCAAGGGATCTGAACACATACCACAATTTATTTGGGGCTCAGAATATATTGTCCCATCCCATAGTGAGTATATCCTGGCCCTGAGAGGGAGGAGCGTAGTCTTCAGTTAGGCCTTCCCCGGGCTGGGGCCCTTACCGTGTCCAGTTGTATGAGGGAGGGGGCTGTCCTTCACTCAGGCATTTGAGCATAGCTCCTTCTCTGCCAACGTGCCACAGATTTTGGTCTTCAAGGCCCCTCACAGAGGCCTCAGCAAGGACTGGAGTGGGAGGTGGGAGAGGAAAGAATGGGAATGATGCCTTTGATCATGTGGTACCTCAGAGGGCCCTGCCCCCCACCCCGCCCTGCCTGAAATATGCTCCCCTTGCCCTTCTCCATCCTACTCATCTGCTGCCAAACGTAGCTCAGCACCCCCACCCCACTGATGGCTCCTGGCCACACTGTTCCCTCCCCTCTCTAAGCTCAGTGAATCTATGTTGGTTTACCTGCACAGTGAGGCCGTAAGTCCCTCAAGGTAGTGATCCATCACACATTTTCTGGATGTCCTGTGGTGCCTAGCATAGTGCTAGTCACAGAACAGGTGCCCAATAAATGTTGCCTGATTCTTCAAAGGTGTAACAATCCTACTAGCTCATTCATTTATTCAACAAACATTTGTTGAGGACCTACTTTGAGCCAAATGCTGAAAACAGTCTTATCCCCTCCAGATGCTTGAAATCGAACACCGGAAAAACAATATCTACCATTTACCAAATGCCTTCAATGCGCTAAGCACTGTGCAAGTTGCTCTGCATTTAGTTTCTAATTCCCATAAAAACCTCTAAAGTTGGTATGAGTACAATTAATTATACTTATTTTGCTGATGAAGAAAATGAAGCCTAACAGGACTGAATGACAGCTGGGAAGTAGAACTAGGGCTTGTCTAAGTTTATCTGTCTCCAAACCCTAAACCAACATTTTACAAAGTGCTTTTCAATTCCGTGTTTATGGTTGATTTTCCCAACAACCCAGTGAAGCAGGGCAATCTCCTTTGTAAAGATAAGGACACAGAAGCTCAGAGAGGTCTATCATCTGGAATCGGGCTCCAGGTCTTCCACATTCGGACTAGTGCTCTCTCCCACACTGTAGCCTCCAAGACCCAGCCTGGTGTGGCTCAGGGACCTATGGTGTCTCACCCATCCGCTTAGAACCCCTTGGGCCTCCCTACCCAAGCATCCAAGTACTTACAGGACACGTGGAGGACGTGGGTGATCCTTTGGTCCTGGTTCAGGCCAGGATGGGACACCACACAGGTCAATGGCTGCCCATTCATGCTGCGGCTAGGCACCAGGTGGAACTCTGAGGTGACGGCGGCAGAGCGGGAGTGCTTGAAGGAACGGCTGGATGTGGTGCCTTTGACCTCCGTGTCCCAGGTCACACTGGGGGCTGGGCTGCCCTCAGCTGTGCAGGAGGCTGCCAGCGTCAGGCCCTGGCCCTCTTCCAGTGCTGGACCAGGATTCAGTGAGGGCAGGGGAGGCACTGCAGATGATGAAAGGCAGGAGTCACGGGTCTGCGAAACCCCTGTCAGGAGGCCCCGCTCATCCCATTTCAATCTTGCACAAGTACAAACTTTCAGGCCCCCTTTCCTTCTCCTGTTTAATGGAGACACAGATGAGTGGTAGAAATTCAGGTGACTTTGTATCCTTCTCCACTGTGTGAATTTTTTACAATCAACATGGGTCATTTTTAAAAATAAAATAATGAAGTAATTTAAAAACTAACCAGATATCATCTATGTAATAATATATAATAGCCACCATCTAGTAAGCACTTACTATGGGTCAACTATTATGCTAAATACTTTATAAGTGTTATCTCGAATTCTGTCAACAAACAGTGAGTTTGGTATTATTATCTCTATTTTCCAGATGAGGAAACCAAAGCTCAAGGCAGCTAAGTGACTTGTCTCAGATCAGCTATTAGGTGAGAAAGTCTAGATTTACACTTGGTGGTGGTGGTTGTTGTTTTTAACTCCAAGGCTGATGTTATTAACTTATATATGAAAAGAGAAATAATTAAAACCTTTATTTTATTTACTTATTTATTTGAGAGAGTCGCCTTCTATTGCCCAGGCTGGAGTGCAGCAGCAAATCTGGGCTCACTGCAACCTCCGCCTCCTGGGTTCAAACGATTCCCCTGCCTCAGCCTCTGGAGTAGCTGGGATTGCAGGTGTGTGCCACCATGCCTGGCTAGTTTTTGTATTTTTAGTAGAGATGGGGTTTCACTGTGTTGGCCAGGTGTTTCTTGAACTGCTGACCTCAAGTGACCTGCCCACCTCTGCCTCCCAAAGTGCTGGGATTACAGGTGTGAGCCATCACGCCCAGCCAAAAACCTTTATTTTTCTCTTCAAAACATTAACACAGAATGGAAAAGACTTAACTTGACCATAAGTCCAGGGTTGGCCACAAGTCCCCACAATACAAAGCGGTGGTTTAAAAAGTGGTTATGATCTCAGACCACATTCACTGAAGGTCCATATCAAGGAAGGTGTCAGCCCCACTGGTGGCCTATGGCCACACCATAGCTGGGCCTGTGTCTACAACCGGGATCCACATTGAAAAAACCCCATGGAGCCCAGAATGGTGAGGGAGGCTTTGAAACTGTCTTTGGTGGAACTGTGGCAGCAACCTGTAAGTTTAGCTTGGAGAAGAGGAGATTTGGGCGGGGCATGACAAAGAGCCCTCTGCTTTGGAAAGGTTGTTGTGAAGGCAGCCAGTGCCATATTGCCATATTGCCACAGGGCAAAAGTAACAGAGAGGGAGTTTCTTTTCTTTTTCTTTCTTTTTTTTTTTTTTTAAGAAAAAAAAAGGAGTGAAGGAAAGGAAGAAAGAGGAAGAAAAAGAGGGAGAGAGAACGGGAATGTAGCTTTATTCTAAAAATGGGTATTAATAATGGCCAGAGAGGGAGTTTCAAGTCGTTGGAAGAAAGAACTTCCTAATAAATGTATTCTTCCCCAGTTTTTGGAGTTACTTGGAGAGAATTTCTGGACTGGGTGCAAGGATAGCTGGCTGAAGCTTCCTCACCCGTACAGAACCCTACCTTTTTTTTGGGCCAGGGGTAGGGTGGAGGACGGAGTCTCGCTCTGTAGCCCAGGCTGGAGTGCAGTGGTGCGATCTCTGTTCACTGCAACCTCCTCCTCCCGAGTCCCAGTTCAAGCAATTCTCCTGCCTCAATCTCTCAAGTGACTGGGATTACAGGCACGCGTCACCATGCCCAGCCAATTTTTGTAGAGATGGGGTTTCACCATGTTGGCCAGACTGGTCTTGAACTCCTGACCTCGTGATCCACCCGCCTCGGCCTCCCAAAGTGCTGGGATTACAGGCTTGAGCCACCGTGCCCGGCTGAGGACGCTACTTTTTATTCCTGTTCTACCTCTGCCCCATTCATCTCTGCAGTTCCCATCTCTGCTTCCGCCTGCCTCCAGCTTTTCCCCTCCGAGACCCCCAGCCTTGAGTCCTGGTGTCTCTGCATCACAGCAGCCCAGACCATACCCAGAGAGCCCCACTTACCCAGCACTCGGAGCCGCAGCCGCGCTTGGAAGCTGCCAGCGGGGAAGGTGCTGACCCGGCACTCGTACTCGCCCTCGTCCGCCTGCACTGCGTTGCGCAGGAGCACCGAGCCGTCCAGGGGGTTGCGTGGGGGCGGCGGCTGCTCCACGCGGCCCTCGTAAGCCGGGCTCACATGAAGCCCGTATTTGGAGTGCAGTAGCGCTAGCTCCTGGGCGCCTTCGCCCGTGTCCACCCGAGCCCACGCCACCTGCCCCACCTGCTCGCCGGAGTCCCCTCGATAGACGCAGGGCAGTTTTGCGTCCTGGCCCAGGACCACAGTCACCACGTCCAAAGTCTCCAGCTCACCCGCTGAGCACCCGCCTGCAAGGGTCAGAAAGGAACGGCCACGATTAGGGGTGCTGCCAGAGCTGGGGGAGCAGAGTCATAATGATAATGACAGCAAAGGCAGCCGGAACTCCTGGAGCATTTTGTGCTTGCAAAGCGCATTGAGTTCATTACCTTATTAAATCTACAAAACATTCCCAAGAGGTATGCGTTATTATCACCATTTAACAGATGAGGAAACTGAGACCCAGGGAGAGGAAGTGGCTTGCCTAAGGCCACACAGACCATTTATGGAAGACTCACACCCTCTTGCAGCTTAGGGTTGGATCCTGAGCAATTGCAAGGTGGAAGGCTGTAACAGGACAGGAGACCCAGCCTCTGCCCTCAGGGAGCTCACAGTCATCAGGGAAGTGGGATTTATACACGAAGCAGCAGGGAAAGCCATACACAAACTTTCAGAGGAGGTTCAACCTACCAACCAGGAAAAAGTGGATAGTTTCAGAAAGTGTGGCTGGGAGCCACAGCAAGAACCAAAAACTGTTGGTATCTGGATGGGGCACATCTTATGGGAAGGGTCTATCCAGTAGGCCCTTTGGAACATTCTTTTCATGGCTTGAAGATGAGAGACCTGGATCCCCATCGTGCAGGAAGTATTCCAAGTGGGAGGAAAGACATGAACCAAGGCTCAGAGGCAGGAATGAGCAAGCCACTAAAGACAGAAAGGGCCCAGAGAGATGAGGTCAGGGCAGACGCACAGCAACGGGGTCAGAATGGTAAGCCCAAAGCGGAGGACAAGGGACAAAGAGCTAGTACAAAGGGCTAGTATTTTTCATATTAATGACGCCTTCAGAAATTCTGGAATGAGAGAGGTCCATCATGTTACCTTATCTGTAAATAAGGATCCAGTCCCTGCTCTCATGTGGCTTGAGATCTGCTCAGGAGCAAAAGATACATATAGAGACACATATGGAAACGTGTGTCTGTCTGATTTAGTGCTCAGGGGTGTGTTACAGGCTAACTGTGGGATGGGGCAATCACTATGGGACTGAATCCTTTGGGAAGGCCCCATGCATGAGCTGGATAGGCCCAGGAGGGAGAGAGACCTAGAAAGGCATTCTAAGTCAGGCACCACCGTGAGCAAACACCAAGGAGAGGGAGAAGATGACTTGTTCAGAAACCAAAGAGGAGAGGACCCAACCTAAGACAGGGTGTGTGTATTGAGCGAGCGTGAAAATATGATTGGGGCAGGGTGGGGCCAAATCACCGGGGAACTTCCACACCAGCAAGGGAATTCAGACTTGGTCAAGAGGAAATGGGGAGTCACTGAAGGTTCCTTAGCCAGGGAGTGCCGTGAGCAAGTGGTGAGGGGGCAGGCAGTCACTGAAGACTGCAGCTGCAGCCCGGGCCCAGTAGTGCTAGGGTGGAGAGGAACGGACAGCTTTGAGGGGGAGATTTGACAGGGATTTGGTCACTCACTAGAAAGAGAGGTGAAGGAGACGAAAGACTCGAAGACAGAGCCTCAATTTCTAGGATGAGTAACTTACGAGGGAGACAGGGCCTGAGGATGTTCATTGTTGGGAAGAAATAAATTTGGAGTCATGGAATCAAAAGTGAAATATGGGGCCTGGGGCCTGGGGCCTGGGGCAGAGCAGAGGGACAGGTGGGGATGGCAGGAGCTCCTTGCCTTGGAATGTGTGCCCCAGCAACTCCCAACAGTGTGCTGTCCCTGCCTCTGCCCAGCACACCACACCCCTTGTTTTTCCTCACTTCTGCCCGCATCTACCCCCTGCCTGGAATGCCCTCCTCCCTACGTCTGGCAGCTCCTACTCATCCTTTAAGACTTTGCTTAGCCATCATTTCCTGCAGGAGTCCTCTCTCCTCCCACCCCCACCTCAGGCAGCACCTCAGGTGCCCTTCCTCTGTGCTCCCCAGCACCCTGCCTTTACTTCTGTCGCAGCTCTTTATCTCTATTTTCTGGGTCTCACATCACATGCGAAGCATTGTTTCTGACTTAGTGCTCAGTGGTATGTGGGTTCTGTCAACATTTATTGACCGACTGAATGAATGAACAAGCAAATTAATAAATGAGAGAGACAGAAGGAAAGTGTAGAATGAGGAGGAACAGGTTGGGCACAATGGCTTACGCCTTCAATCACAGCACTTTGAGAAGCTGAGGCAGGCAGATCACCTGAGGTCAGGAGTTTGAGGCCATCCTGGCCAACATGGTGAAACCCTGTCTCTACTAAAAATGCAAAAAGTAGCTGGGCATGGTGGCACACACCTGTTGCTCCAGCTACTCCAGAGGCTGAGGCAGGAGAATTGGTGAACCTAGGAGGTGGAGGTTGCAGTGAGCTGAGATCATGCCACTGCACTTCAGCTTGGGCAACAAAGTGAGATGCCATCCTACAAAAAAAAAAAAAAAGAGGAGGAACAAGCATTGGGCTGGGCAGGGAGGGAGCGCATTGACATGGTAACCTTGGGGCGGAGGCAGGATAGGCTGGGCTGGCTAATTAGCTTCACTGCCAAAGGGAGCACCTCCAGACTGGACAGAGGAAAAAAACAGGGATGGAAGGAGGCAGGCATGGAGGCAGGAGGAAATGAAGCCCCACTGGCAGGGATCAGAGGGTTTTAGTGAGGCAGCGCATAGAGCGCAGGAGGGGTTCTGTGGCCCTGCTGCCAGGACAGGGAAGAAGGATGCTGTTGGGTGCTGGGAGGGCCCAGATGGGACAGGACAGACCTGCAGGGCCAGATACCAGGGCCCTGACCTGCTTAAGCTGATGTTGGTCCCACCCAGCCCAGGCTGGGAGTCCAGCTAACCACCCGCACCCCTCCCAGGCTTCTACTCCTGCACTGGAGAGAACAGGGCTGCCAGGAAGGGCTGCAAGGGGATCTCCAGCACAACACATCTTCTGCTTCAATGTCTGTGCAGGTCACAAGGATCCCAAGACCTGCCCCATTGGGACACTCAAACCCTTCTAAAGACTGTTTCTGAGACAATGTCAGATGGCATATTTTCCATCCCTATTCCTATACTAGCCAACCATCTGCTCTCTCCCCACCAGTAATCACCTACATTTCCCTTGGAAAATACCTTCTTGGGGCACAGCAGGCGTTAGGTATCCAGTGCATGCCCGAATCGCGATCCTCCATGTTCTCACCTGTGAGTCCACGATCCCACCCCTAGGGGACAAACTGAAACTTTGCAGATGAGGAACCCAGTAAAACAGGAAATTCCCTTCTGGGTATCTCCCACAGATCCTCATTGTTCTAAATCCACTATTTAGGAGCATCTCAGCCTGAGGCAACACCCTCCTCCAGTTGCGTACCCCCCTACCACCCTAGGGTACAAGAGGAGAGAAAACAGAATTTGGGCTCTAGAATCCCTGTCCCTGGCTAAGCAGACCCAGGAGTCCAGGCTTCCAGGCCAGGGCAGGCCAGGACTGCCTCCTCCTCTCCTCCACCCAGTGTCAGCCTGGCGTCAGCATGATGATGTCATCAGACCAAAGGAGACACATTGCCTGCCTGGTAAGTTCACCTTGAGGGCATGTGGTGGCCAGGCCAGGCCAAGCCCACGGACCCTTCTGTTGCAAATTGTTTGCTGAGGCTGGTGGACTCTGGCTGGTTGGGCACTCCTCCCTCTGACCCTCCCACCCCACCTCCCTGGAGCACCAGGACGCTGGTCAGGAGCCTTGGTGACTCAGAAGCTGCAGCACAGCAGCAAGCCTAGCCACAGCCACCACCACCTTGCGCAAGGGAGAGAACAGGCCCAACTGGCCAGACGGGATCCCTGCCCTTGGCCTCCCCCACCCCGGCCAGGCCCCCACGGGCCTCTTTAGAGCTCAGCCCTTTGTGTACCCCGCCCGCTCCCAGACAGGCCCTCCATTCCTGGTTTGGGCTGGCTGGCTGTTCCGCACCCTATGCCTGGGTCCCAACTTTCCTTTCAGTGTGAGCCTGGCCTCTGATCTCAGGAGGGGAAACTGAGGCTGACACTTGCCAATACCCAGCCATCAAGAGCATCTTTAAGGAAGTGTCTTTTCTTTATGAGGGGCCTTTCTCCATCAGTATCCCCTGTTGGTACTTACAAGGGTAAATGTAGGGGTCCCAAAAGTGGGTCTCTGACAAGGAGGAAGAGAGTATGAGTCTTTTGTGTATGGGGATCTGTGGCTGAGAGCCTGGCCAGTCTTAGCGCTGGTTCACACCCATGTGAAGCTATCTCCTTGCATAAACTGGTGGGTGTTTGGCACATATACGTGTTCATGTCTTCTCTTAAGGACATAGCCATACTTGTCTGTGTCCAGAGGAAAGAGCTATGTATGAGTATGTGAGAACGTGTGTGCACACACCATTCCGTGTGCACGTCACACCCTCTGTATGCACGCAGCGCATTCTTGTCTCGCGGAACTCTGCACATATAGTAAATATTTTGCTGTCAGTTTATCTTGGCTTTCACATATGTCTCTGTCTCAGCTGCCCTTGGTCAGTGGCATGTGGCTCTGAGCCTTCACCTCTGCATGCCTGGAATGTCACCCCCAGCATCCCTCCCCACCTCACCCCAAGACTTGAGGAAAGATTCATCTCAGGCTCAAGGTGGAAGTACCCAGAGATGAGGTCACTGTCCCTCCAGGTGATGGGAACTTGCCATTAAGGGCTCCCCAGCAGAACAAAACAAGTGCTTGCTCTGCCCTTGCTCCTCAGGTTCCTAATAAAAGGACTCCCACCCTTCTCACCACTACCCCCAGCCACTCCCCTGGGCCCTCAGCAGCTCTGGCCCCCCAAGGAGGCCTCTCCCTGGGAATCTCTGTCAGGACTCTGCTGCTGCCACCACCAGAAAAACCAGCTCTGGCTGCAGGCCTGGGTAAGGGTTGTCTGGTGTGGTTTTGGGGGGAGTGGGGGGAATCCTGCCTCAGGCTAGGGGGAGGGGTCCAAGCTGTCTAGGGTCTCAGGCTCCTTTGTTAACTCCTGCCTCCCCTTACCCCACAGCAACAGCCTCTACCCAAGAGCTGGAGTATGTGGCTGAGTTTGGGGTGAGAAGGGACCCGGGAGGGACACACAGAAGCTCCCCATCCAGGACAGGTGACATGCACAGCCCAGCAAACCCTTTTCCATCCACTCTTTCCCCCATGACCTTGGCCTTGGAGTGCTAAGGAACTTTAGAAACCAGAAGATTCCCTCTCTGCCTTCATCCACCTCCCTCAGTTACCCCCCATTGTCCTAAGCCCCCCAGCTTAGTGAGAGCTTCCCAGCCTGGGCAAAATGCCCACCCACAGATTAGTGTCTGGGGAGGGGGGCCACACAATCACAAAGGGAGATGAGAACAATGGGGAGGACAGGCCTTGAGGCAGCCCCAGCTCTGGCCCAGACACAGCTCCCAGCACACAGATAAGTCCCCTAAACCCCCAGGAGCCAGAGTCTGAGCCTGGCTGAGTCACCACAACAGCCACACTGTGGGTGGGAGACCCAGCATTCAGTTTCTCCCAAACTCCTGGGATCCTAGCCTCTGCTCCATACCGCCTCTCCACCCACTGTAGCCAGGTCTGCCCCTCCCAAGTCACAGCCTCAACTCCAACTCTCAGGAAACACTAAATTTAGAGGGAAGCGGGTGGGGGTGGCCAGAAAATGATGAGAAAAGCTCTTGAGGCCACAGGCTGCCTGTCCTAGTGAAAGAATGGCCCCAGCCGCCCTCTCCACAGCCTTCCTCCAGGAGGCACGGCAGATGCCTCCCCAGTTCTGAACTTCACCTCCTCTTTTTTTTTTTTTTGACACAGAGTCTCACTGTCACCCAAGCTGGAGTGCAGTGGTGTGACCACTTCACATCACCGCCATCCCTTCTCTCTGCCTAGACTTCGGTCAGAGCAAAGGTAAATTTTTAGAGGCAAGAACATCCAATCATCCTCTCCTCACTGGGTTTGTGCCCCAAAGCAGCTAATCCCCCATTCACTTTGCCTAGAGGAGCCCTGGATCCTGAGGCTCTGGTCTGCCTGATGGAATCATGAACTCTAAGCTCCTCACCGCCATCTCTAGCTGTGGCCCATCTTCCTTAAACACTAGGGTGGGAACAAGGTCACCGGGGTCACAGGGCTTCCCTGGGATTCTCCCCGTTCTCACCACCTCCCTTGCTGGCTTCCCCAGGTTTGGGTAGGTCCTACAGGAAAGGGCCTGCCCCCCCTTTGTAAACAGGAGTAGAAAGGATGGGCCCCTCCTTTTCTAGGAAACTAACCTTAGACAGAAAGCTGATCCTAACCCCAAGAAGGCAGACCTCAGAATTCAGAGCACCACTGGCCCTCTGGTCCTGCAGGGTTCCTGAACCCAGACAAAGAGCTGGGGACTAGGATCCTAATGGGGGAGGGGTGTCTCATGGATTTGGGTCCCTCAGCCCCAGGGCAAGAGATGGGGGAGGGAGAAGGGAGGAGACCTCACCCGGAAACTTATCCCTTTAAGGAGAGACAAAGAGCTGTGGTGCTGAGGCACCTCCCAAGCCTGGGCTCCTTTCCCTGACAGGGGTGGGGCAGGGCCCTGGGGCTCAGAGCTCCTAGGGCCCAGGATTTGGCCCAGGATTTGGGTGGGGGGTGAATTTGCAGTAGGGCCAGGAAGGCAGTATCCTGGGGAAAGGTACTCTGGTACCCTCTGAGAGACAGGCCGAGAACCCTTCCCCGCTTCTATCTCCACAGCCAGAGCCGGTGGCTCTTCCAACACCCCAGCACCCTGCTTCAGCCAGGGCTGGACCATCATAGAGTCATTGTATTACAGAGCTGGAAGGCCAGTAGAGATCATCTTGGTCTACTGAAGTCTGGTTTTGTAGCTGCCCAAGGTAACCAAACAGATTAATAGCAGAAACAGGACATAGACCCAAGACTCCTGACTTCCCAGTCCAAGGATTCCTCAGAGACATGAAACATTCCAGGTTCCTAGGAGCTCTTAAGGAGATGTCCACACACAGAAGAGCCAGAATGGTGGTGGTAGTGGAGGTGGGACCATCTGATCCTCAGGCTGGAAGTCTCCAGACCCCAAAGCAACCTCATTTCTGTGCAGATGATAGCTTCAGCAGTAGCAGAGTGGCCTCCTACCAGGTTCCAACTTCGTGGGGCAAGCTGGGGCCAGGCTTTCTTCCTTCCTGTCAGGCATTGCATGGGGTCTAACTAGAAGTGGGTCTCCTTTCCTCTTCCCTTGGCTTCTCTTAGTAAGAACAGTTTTTCCTTCATGGAAAAGGAAGGCAAGGACCATGTGATGCATTCACCACTGCATCTCCAGCATCTAGTATCCAGGCTGTACCCAGTGTTCACTCAAATGTACTATTCTTCAATGAACTCTTGAGTCAGAAGACCAAGTCACTAACCCTCGTTATGCTCCAAACACAGAGCAGAGGTAATCAGGGATCCCAGACATAGTGACCCAGGCTGGGGACTGGGAGGGAACATGAAGGGGAAGGGCTACTGGCTTTTCTGGAGACACTGCTGGAAGCTGGGGGTGGGAGAGAGAGATTGGCCCCTCAGTTCAGAGTCACAGGAAAGGTGTTCGTGTGCATGCATGCGTGTGTCTACTTCTAACATTGAGTAATCTTGCAGATCTCACTTGCCCTACCGTTTTTTCATCTGTACAATGAGAGAGTTGAAGTGGTGATCTCTCTGATCTCTTCCAAGTCCTGAGATCGCATGACTCCTCTCTTTAGGTGTGGGTAGATCCCACAGGAAAGTGCCTGCTGGGTTCCCTGACTGCAGCAACTAGGCCCCACCTTTTTGCCTTAAACAAGTGAGAAGGGCTTATCTGGAAGATGGGAATTAAAACACAGATGGTAGGGGACTGTGAGGGGATGGCAGGGGGAGAGCTCAGTATCCTGTGACTAGAGGCTGGGCCCATGACCTATTTATTGTAAAGTCAGAGTGGGGCCAGGAGCGGTGGCTCATGCCTGTAATCCCAGCACTTTGGGAAGTCAAGGTGGGCAGATCATGAGGTCAGGAGTTCAAGACCATTGTGGTCAACATGGTGAAACCCTGTCTCTACTAAAAAGAATACAAAAATTAGCTGGGCGTGGTGGCACAAGCCTGTAATCCCAGCTACTCAGGAGGCTGAGGCAGGAGAATCGCTTGAACCCGAGAGGCGGTGGTAGCAGTGAGCTGAGATCATGCCATTGCACTCCAGCCTGAGCGACAGAGTAAGAATCCATCTCAAAAAAAAAAAAAAAAGAAAAAGAAAGCAGAATGGGAGCAGCCCATACCTTCACCAACCCACATATCTAGGCCTTATTACCCTCCTGAGAGCTCCAGCTGGAGACGGAGGTAGGGAAATCACTGCTAGATCTTGCTGGGCAACTGAGGCTCTCTCACTACTGCTCCTGGGGCTGATAATCAAACTGTGCTGTTCAGATCAGGCCCCATCTTTTGAAGGAGAAAGATTTCTCAGTTACTCATTACCTTAGGAACAGCCTATGGAATCCCACTGAGGTCTCACTGTGCACACACGCTCTCCTCCACTCTGAAGATTATACATTCTGAGAATTCATATTTGCTCTATATACATTAGACAGGCGGGAGGTGAGGAGTAATACAAGGCATCTAGTTCGACAATGGGGTACCAGGAGATGAACAAAAGAGAACTACACCCGAGCCAGAAGGTTTCCCACCTTAGACCCCCACCCATCTAAACCCCCTCATTACCACCCTGGCACCTAATACTGTGCCCAGAAAAAGGGAGGGGCCAGAGTGACAGACGTTCTCAGCTCTCCCATAGTCCCCAACAGGTGCCCCAGTCCTGGTGTTCTAGATCATTATGGAGAGAAGAGAAGGAAATAGAAATCCCCCAACTACTCTCTGGGCATCAGGCTTCCTGCACCCTGATGACTACAGAGACCAGCTGAGCCCTGAGTCAGTCCCAGTTCCAGGCAGCCGTTCCAGAGCCCAGCGGGTAGGCCAAGGCACCTCTGGAAACCCTGGGGTGAACAGGATCCTCACAATTCCCACCTCCCTGCCCACCTGCACTGGGTCACCACATCTATTCCCCAAGACAGCTCAGGCCTAGGCAAGGCAGAGGTGTCAGGGATCCCAAACATAGTGACCTGGCCTCAGGGCTGGGAGGAAACATGAAGTGGAAGGACTCTACTGGCTTTTCTGTGGGCACTGCTGGAAGCTGGCACTGGGAGAGAGAGACTGGCTCTGAGTTCAGAGTCGAAGGAAGGAGAATGTTTGTGTGCGTGCGTGTGTGTCTATGTGTTTGTGCATGTGTGTCAGTGCCGGGTTGGGCTCAGAAGCAAGTGTCCTGATGGTTCAGGCAAGTCTTACCTGTAAACGATGCCAGCAGCAGCAGCAGCAGCAGCAGCCCAGCTTCAGGCCCCCAAATCTTGGCTCCCAGGGACAGGGGCATGGCTGAAAGGCAGACTGCTCAGTGTTTCTGAAGTTCCACTGAGATCTCCCTGGGAGCCGCTGCGGACTTGAATAAGGAACTGACCCAGAAGGCAGGAAGCTGCAGAGTTCTTGCCTCTCTCACTTGGGTCTCCACTAGGGGACACGGCCCCGGCCCTGTTCTACCCACCCAGCCGTAGCTACCCCCAAGAAGCCGTGATCGGGAGCTCCGAGCTCCCCCAGAGCTGCTTCCCACGCCGTGGCCAACAACGATGGCAGAAACCTGGGAACCTGCTCAGCAGGTCAGAACAGGTGCGTCTCTGGGGGCTGGGCCTGGCACGGAGACTCAGCAGTCACCACCCCCATGGCCTGGGCTAGCTAATGGGCGCCAGGGAGGGAGGGAAGGAGGGAAGGACCTGGGTGGGGGCGGTGGGGTCCCATCCTCAGCTCCAGGCTTTACCTGTAAGTATGTGGAAGAGGTTGTGAAGGGAGAGGCAAGGGTGGGGGCAAAGGGAGGCCCAGGGCACCAGGCCAGGCCAGGATGAATGGGGGCAGGGCCCTTGTGGGTAGAAAGGAACCCAAGCGTCCCATACCCCAGCTAGCCTTGCTACCTCCTGGGGGCCTTGACAAGTTCCTGGATCTCCTGGAGGGTCTGAGCTTTGGAGCCATAGAATCAGAGAAGGCCAGAACTGAGGAGGAGTCTATCAGCGCTCGCCTATATACTTCATTCTTCAGATGAGAGAGCCGAGGCCCAGAGTGGGGAGGGCCTTGCCAGAGGAGTCTCACGGTTTGCTCAGACACCTCTATCCCTGAGGTAGGGAAGTAGTTCAAAGACCCCTGAGAAAGAGCTTATGTAACTTATCTAACCCCAACTCCACATAGGAGAGGCCAAGAAATTAGCCCTACAGGTTCCTGGCTTCCCTATCAGGGCCCTCTCTCAGCTTCAACACCTTGTTACCTGGCCAGGAGTCCCAAAACTGCAGCAGCACAACCTGAGGAGAAAGGTTCCGCTCTACCATCTCCATGGTCTCTTTTGTTTTTTTAGATGTAGTCTCGTTCTGTCACCAGGCTGGAGTCCAGTGGCGCGATCTCAGCTCTCCAAATCCCTGGTTCAAGCGATTTTTCTGCCTCAGCCTCCTAAGTAGCTGGGATTACAGGTGCCCACCACCACACCCGGCTATGTTTTTGTATCTTTAGTAGAGACGGGATTTCACCATATTGGCCAGGCGAGTCTCAAACTCCTGACCTCATAATCCACCCACCTCAGCCTCCCAAAGTGCTGGGATTATAGCATGAGCCACTGTGCCCAGCCTCCAAGGTCTTTTTACCCATTTTACTCCAAGGTGATTGTACAAAACCACAGGTCTGGATTTTGCAAAGATGATCTTAATTTCAAGCACTCTGGCCCTGTATTCCTGTAAGTACGTTCATCCTTGTCAGACCATGTCTTTCCATTCTGAATGCATCAAATGTGACTGCCAAGTTACACCAAACCTTACCGGCCTCCCTGGAATAGCCAGAGGAAGAGGGCATATTCTCAGCCCACTGAAAATGTAGTGAAGAGAAGGAGCAAGCTCTTGCAGACTAGGACTAAAAAAAAAGAACCAGGTAAATATAGCGATAGATATGGGAGAAGAAAAAAATATAGATTAAAGTTCCACAATAGGACCCTTCCATCTGGAGGAGGCAGAAAGGAGGAATACAGAAGCCTAAAGGAAGGGTCATTCCATGCAGATTTTCTTTCTTTTTCTTTTTTTTTTTTTTTTTGAGACGAAGTTTCGCTCTTGTTACCCAGGCTGGAGTGCAATGGTGCGATCTCAGCTCACCGCAACCTCCGCCTTCTGGGTTCAAGCAATTCTCCTGCCTCAGCCTCCCGAGTAGCTGGGACTACAGGCACATACCACCATGCCCAGCTAATTTTTTGTATTTTGAGTAGAGACGGGGTTTCACCATGTTGACCAGGATGGTCTCAATCTCTTGACCTCGTGATCCACCCACCTCGGCCTCCCAAAGTGCTGGGATTACAGGCTGAGCCACCGCGCCCGGCCCCCATGTGGATTTTCTACCACCAGCACACCAACTCAACCTGTAAGACTCTTATTCATCTTTCAAAGCCAACCTCAAATGCCACATCTTCGTGAAGCTTTCTCTGCTCCTCCCACCCAAATTAATCTTTCTTCTGTTCTTCCTCAGCCTTTGCTAGTCCTTTTATTATAGCTTATGTGCTCATCATTTGTGCACATCTTATCTCCTTAACTAAATTGTAAGCTTCAAGTCAAAAAAAAAAAAACACTGATTGAGGCCTGCTGTGTGCCAGGGGTTCCGTAAATGTATTAAATTGTGGGACAGGGCAAGAGTTGTAGCCTGTGAACGAACACCTTGAACGTCGGGCTTGTTTTGTAATCTTGTCTCAGTCTTCCACGCTAGGACAGGCCACAGCATTTCCTGGGAACTGAAGACATTTTGGTGAAGGCCTGAATTTCTGAATAAACGAGCTGTCCAGATGGAAAAGGTGGTGAATGAAGTAGGATCAGTAAAGCAGAGATCCTGACTGGCTGTGAGTCAGGGTCATGACCTGGACTGTGACCCCAACTCTGGCTCTAGATCCCAACTCTCAGCAATGACCATGGCAGTTACCTCTTCTTCAGGGACTATTTCCTGCAGGTCAGACATACTTAAAGGCAGCCTGGATGCCAGAACTCCCCAGTTTCTCTCCACCTCTAACCCCTTCCCCTTTCAAGTCCCCACCTGTGCCAAAGGAACAGCCGCACCCAGATGCTGCTTTGAGATCCACTGTGGCAGAGGTGGAGTAGGGCCAGCGGGAATGGGAGGGGGAGCATCCTGTGTTATAATTATAATTATCACACCTTGGATCCTTGCACATGCTTTTGGAGGAGCTGCTTTCCTTCCCACGGATTCACCCTTCCAGGTAGAGGAAGCCACAGGAGAAACTGAGGCATGGGACTGGGAAAGCAGTTGGATCACAAGATGGGGATCCAATCTCCTTCAGCCTATCCATTCATAGTACATGCCTGTGAAAGTGCTACCAATCAGGATATCTGTGAACCCCTGGCTGGGCCCCTCAATCACTCACCCTGAGCTCTAGCCGTATGGAGCACGGAAGGGAGGCACAACTGTCCAGAGGTGGTCTTAGGGTATGGCCGTACTCATTTTTTCATGGGTATGTTTGGGTCCCAGTAAACATCAGAGGCAGCTGTGAAGTAGGCTAAGGGCACCACAGGGCCTGAGAGGAACCCTGGAGTCTGGCAGCCCTCTCCAGGCCTTTGGTGGAGGTAGGGATCTCTCTCTCCTCTTTTCACAAGTATCTATCTCAAGTCCCTCTGTCTCCTCCTTCCCTCAGCCCTGCATGTCTCACACGGGCCATGCTCTTGGAGAATATGCCCTCAAACTTAGGCCTTTCCTACTCTCTCCTAGGATGAAGGCTGGGGAAGGCATATTCTAGGATGGGGGCTGGAAGGAAATATTGGATGAGGAAGATTTTCAAGACCAATGCTTGGTATCCTGGTTCAGTTCTCTCTTCTGCGTTGAATTCCATTCCCCTCATGCCTCACTCCTATCCTCCTCCCACCCATATGCTGGGCCCTGAGAATGAGAACAATTCAAGCCACGATAGTGTCTTTATCATGTGTGTTTGTCTGAGTGGCATTGCTGCGTGCACCCCTGCACCCAGGCATAGTGAGTACCACTATGTGTCAGACTCAAGGGAGGAGACCCAGACACATAACACATAGTCCCTGCCCTCAAGGAGCCCTCAAATCAGGAGAGACAGACACAGAAACTAGAACATGCTATATACTACCAGCATGTGTTCCCTATGTATCTCTGTACACACACATGCTATACACATATGTGGGACTATCTGTCTGCACAGCAGCGGATGTTCTGCATGAACTGCATGCATCCAAGCATCCACTTATACCTGTCTCTGTCCCCATGACAGGCTGCACGCCTCGGCCAAACCGGTTGGAGTGGGTTGTGCTGAAATTTTTGTTTGTGTCAATGGGACTTGAGGTGAGTCAGGGAGGGGCAAGATGGGTGGGGTGGGGTGGGGGAGAAGAAGAGTGAGAGTGAGGGTCAGACTGAGTGAGTGGGGGAGGGAGGAGTGGGCCCCGATGGGAAGGGGTGGGAGGGAGGGGGAGGTGGAGGAGGATGGGTTGGGGGTGGAAGTAGATGAGAGAGCTCCTTGGTGAGTAATATCCTGTCTATCACAGTGAGGTCCCAGGTCAGAGAAGAGTCAGAGGCTGGGGGAGAATCCCTTGTGCTTGGGGAGACAGGAGGGTGAAAAATAAGTCAGAGTGGAACTAGTTGGAAGTGTGAGTGTGGATAAAATATTTGTGATCCATATCTATACAACTCTGTCTCTGTGATAAGCTATTCCTGATCTGCTCATTGCAACTTTCTGCAGTTTGTACAGAAAGGCGCTAAGGAGCTGATGATGTGTTGAAAGATTACCAATATGGGCCTTGATCCCACCCCCCAGGACAGAGGCTTCAAAGTCACTCCTCCTGCTCCTCCCTAGAATCTCCCCCCTCCATCCATGGAGGTGTGAGCATACCCCCATACAGAACACGGGGCTCCAGCAACTCTTCCTCCCCTAGAAAACACCTTTGCTCCCCTCCAGATGGAGCTTCATAATGCCCAGTATCAGGATGGTGGCCTCCTGTTTTCTAGGCAATTACATCGAAACCTTGCCGTGTGCTATGTTGTCCTTTGCTTATCCTGTAGGCCCACTGATTCCCCAATACCAGCCTCATCCTTTAATGATAACCACATTTCCTGATTGCCTAACAACTCTTGGTGCGCAGCGGGCTGAATATGCTTGTTCCTCGAGGGCCTTAAAGCTGGAGTGTGCCATCCGGGGAGAAGGCAGCTGAATGCAAGACATGTTCAGGTCCTGTTTCTCAGTAGGTCCAGTTGTGTGCATAGCCTCTCACTCCACGAACTTCCCAAGTTCCCATGAACACACTACCGCAAAATCTAGGACCAGAGTACGGGTTAAGGGACAAACGTCTTTGACACTAAGACCCCACTGAGGTCTTCTCTGGGGAAATCCTACTTCCTGAGGCCCTATGTATTGAAGCTTACTCAGGTCCTCATCAAAAATCAAGACATTATGATGGCCCAGAGGCCCCAAACTGGTGCTACAGTTCTAGAAAACTGCCAAAGGGAAGAAGTCTGGCCACTTCTGGAAAGTTCTAAAGCTCCTTGCAGGAAAGACAGATGGCTGGCTCTGTTCAGCAGGAATAAAAGGGTAGTAACCCAAAGAGAGAAACACAAAAGTAGAAATGGTGAGAGACAGATCTCAAGGCACAGGGAGAAAAATGGAAACTTAGAGACAAAAAAATACACAAATGTTCCTTGATTCTTATGATGGAGTTATGTCCTGATAAGCCCATTGCAAATTGAACATGTAAGTTGAAAATGCATTTAATGTACCAGTCGTTAGCCCTAGGAAATATCAAATTCAACTTTGGGAGGCTGAGGCAGATGGATCACAAGGTCAAGAGATGGAGGCCATCCTGGCCAACATGATGAAACCCTGTCTCTACCAAAAATATAAAAAATTAACTGGGCATGGTGACACATACCTGTAGTCCTAGCTACTCAGGAGGCTGAGGCAGGAGAACTGCTTGAACCCAGGAGACAGATGTTGCAATGAGCCAAGATCGTACCATCTCAAAAAAAAAAAATTGTAAGTTGAACCATCGTTAAGTCAGGGATAGTCTGTATTGAGACACACACACGTACACACACACACACACACACACACACACACACACACACGAGTTACTGAAGGGGAAGAATCCAAAGAGACAAAGTGGCTGAAGTGGCCAAGACAAAATCTGAAACAGAGACAGAAGGACCTGAAGAGAAATTTCTAGATGCTATAATCACTCAAGTCCTTCCCTCTTCTGCCCTCAATTCCCACCACTCAGCAATGACCCAATGATACTTTCCTACTCAACATTGCCTACTCCCTCAACAACATAAACTCGTCCCCATCCTTATCCTACCTCTTGGCTGATTACCACTGCCCTCCACCCTAAAGCCTGCTTACAATTTCACCATTCTCTCAATATCCTTCGAGCTCACAGCCAGTCAGAGGAGCTCTCAAGATCTGACCTCATGCAGTCTCTTTACCTGGTCACTTTTCTGTTCTTTTGTCCATGTCTTTTTTTTTTTTTTTTTTTGAGATGGAGTCTCACTATGTTGCCCAGGCTCGAGTGCAATGGCATGATCTCGGCTCACTGCAACCTCTGCCTCCTGGGTTCAAGCGATTCTCCTGCCTCAGCCTCCCAAGTAGCTGAGATTACAGGTGCCTGCCACCAAGCTCAGCTAAATTTTGTATTTTTAGTAGAGACAGGGTTTCACCATGTTGGCCAGGCTGGTCTTGAACTCCTGACCTCAGGTGATCTACCTGCCTCGGCCTCCCAAAGTGCTGAGATTACAGGAGTGAGCCACCGCACCTGGCTTGTCCATGTCTTTATTCTGGCTGAGCTGAGAGCAAAGAGTCAGAATTGGGGCCAGGATGGCATGGAGCCAAGAAGTCAAGCAGCCAGAATGAACTGTGTGAGAAATAGAGAAGGGTCAGAGGACAGCAGAAGAAGAGTCAAAGAAAGGGCCTGAGAATGGGACAGCCTGGGAGACATGGGCAGAGGGAACTGTGGGAGTCTTGAGAGAGGAAGAGTGTGACTAAGACCCTTTGATGCAATTGTTGGTTTTCTTTTTTTCTTTCTTTCTCTCTCTCCTTTGTTCATTTGTTCATTCATTCATTCATTTTTTTTGAGACAGAGTCTCACTCTGTCACCCAGGCTGGAGTGCAGTGGCACAATCTAAGCTCACTGCAACCTCAGCCTCCCAGGTTCAAATGATTCTCGTGCTTCAGCCTAGAGAGTAGCTGGGACTACAGGCAGGCACCACCACACCCAGCTAATTTTTTAATTTTTTCAGTAGAGACGGGGTTTCACCATGTTGGTCAGGCTGGTCTCGAACTCCTGGCCTCAAGTGACCCACCCACCTTGGCCTCCCAAAGTGTTGGAATTACAGGCGTGAGCCAACGCACCCAGCCCAATTGCTGGTTTTCTGTATGTACTGAACAATGTTAAGAACCAGAGATGGTTCCAGGATCAGAAAATGGGGGTAAGGAAGGGAAAAGATAGAGTAAGAGTTTTGAGAAGGTTTGAGGCAAGGAGGCATAGATTTGGGGCTAGGACAGACATTTAAGGCGAGGTAGGAAGCTGGGTGCTTGCTCGCTAGAGATAACATAGACCCTGGGCTGACTGAGACAAAGCCAAAGTCAGAGGTCACATCAGGATTGGAAGACCTTCAAGATATTCAGTCCCTGCTCCCATGCCTGGACAGAGGTTGGCCCTGTTTATTATTAGCAGGTGAAAGCAGGTCCAGAGCCCTGGCTGCCCTTCTCCCTATGTCTCAGAATGTTCTCTCAGCTCTCCCTTTCACTTACCTTTTTTTTTTTTTTTTTTTTGAGATGGAGTCTTGCTCTGTCACCCAGGCTGGAGTAAAATGGCACACTCTCGGCTCACTGCAACCTCCGCCTCCTGGGTTCAAGCATTTCTCCTGCCTCAGCCTTCCAAGTAGCTGGGATTACAGCTTTGAGCCACCACGCCTGGCTGATTTTTGTAGTTTTAAGTAGAGATGGGGTTTCATCTTGTTGGTCAGGCTGGTCTTGAACCCTGACCTTGTGATCCACCCACCTCAGCCTCCCAAAGTGCTGGGATTACAGGCGTGAGCCACCTCCCCGGCTCCTTTCACTCCTCTTAACGCCCTTTCCGTTTGTGCATCATTGACAAGATCCTTATAGAGCACTGCAGATGCTGTCCTGCGGTGTGAGGCATGTACTGTACAAGTCCAAGTTGGCTGGTTTGTTCTCTTCCTCTCTCTGTGTCTCTCTGGCTTCTGTTCTCCTTCCTCCAGAATATAGATTTGGTTCAAATGAACCTAACAAGGTAGGAGTCCTAGGCAGTTCCTCTCCCAGGGTCTTGGGTTGGCAAAGCAATGGGTAGATGCTTCCAGCTATTAGGAGGACCTGGAAGCATCTAGGTACAGAACTGGAGAGGGTACAGCCAGGGAATATGTGAGGTTCAAGTTCCATCTCTAACTAAGATGCCTACTGCTAAGGACTCAGAGTCAGAGAGGAAGCTGAGAGAGAGCAGCTGGAAAGGCCCCTGGGGCGGGGAGTTCCCATTTCTATCCAGGAGAGGCAGAAAATAAGTCTGACAGAACAGCCAAAGACTTAGGCAAAAGCAAGAGCCTAAAATGGACATATAGGCCAATAAGATTTAAGGAAAATTGCCCCACCCCTGAGGCAGGCCCTTGCCTAATCCTAGGAGTGTGACAGATCCGAATCCAGCTGTTGGGAAGTTGGCCAATGAGAAGCCTGAGGGGGAAGACTGACTTTCAGATTTCAGCCAAGGACAGTAAAAGTTAGTGATTTTTTAGAGATTCTTACCATGATTTTGGAAAACTGAGAATACTGCCTGTCATACTCAGGGAAAACTAGAGTTGGGAGGGCAGAGACTTTCAAAGCTATTGTTGAATCTTGGCTTTAAGGTACAGGCAGGGAACAGATCCTGGTAACCTTCCAGTCTCTATAACTGTGCCTTTCCTGCCCATGCTGTCCCCATGCTGTGTTCTCTGAGGACCAACAGTTGGGAAGAGGAGGGGAAGGCAGTGCTGTGCTATTGGACCCTGCATCACATGCCCATCCTCACTGCACCCCTGGCCACTCTCTCTTTTTTCTTTTTGTAGAGACAGGGTCTCGCTATGTTACCCAGGTTGGTCTTGAACTCTTGAACTGCTGGCCTCAAGTGATCCTCCTGCCTGGCCACTCTTTATGGTCTCAATTTCTCAGGTATGATGGGGACCAAGGTGATGTGTAGAAACCAAAGGCCACAAGTGGCAGTTATTACTTACACTTACAGCCCAATCCCAGAGGACACAGATCCTGTTTTTGCCCCACCCCAGCTGTGTTGGGAGGGAAAAAAATCTGTATTTCCTCCTTCAACTGAAACCAGTGAGCTTCCATCTGG